TCTCTCCCCATCTCTCTCGCTGGGGAGCCGGACAAGCCCCTCTCTGTACCAGCGTGGACGGCACCCTGGTGGTGTTCACCTTCTGAAGCGCTCGCTCGTCACCGTGGCGTGCGCGATGACCACCACGTGACTTTTCTTTCGTGTTGTGCGCGGTGCTTTTAGCGCCACAGCGCGTGGATTTGTAGCGTTTGTTTTCATTTGTTTGCTGGTGACTTTGTGTGTTTCATATGGAAATCGCCTCCAGTGCTGCTGCTGCTGGCGGCAATAAAAGTTGCTTAAAAGTCAAAAATCTCTCCCCATCTCTCTCCATCTCTCTTGATCTCTCTCGCTCTCTTTCTTTTTAAATCCTTTATATTAAGTTCACTTGCGCGCTTGCTTACGACCGTGCAAATCTTTCGATCGTTTTTTAACCCACTTCCCGTGATCCAATCGAGCTGACATTTTGCACACAGACTCGTTGTGCGTGACAATTTATTTTCGTGAACATTTTTTTCCAAAATGTAACACTTTTTAGGATTTTTTTAAATATTTAATTACCAATTGCTTAATGGTGGCAGGCAATCATCTGACCCATAGGTGGCAGCCATCTCAAGCCAGAGGACGAGAGGACTGCCACGCATATAAAGGATTTATAGTGAAAAACTTTGTTTTTACGGGTTAATTTGAATGTTTTTACGATCAGTGGAAACAAGAAGATGCTCGGTGTAGTCGGCACTTTGCTTCGTTCATCATTTCGTAATTTTATTTTAAAACATTTTTAAACTTAGCTTTATGTAAACCCCCACCTCTCTCTCGCTCACTCTCTCTTCGGAGATTCGAAGTTGTGGGAGGTTTTTGTTGTTGTTCGAGAGCGCTCGAGGGTGACCTCACCGCGAAAAGTTAAACTACCACCACCACCACCGTGGCCCCCGAGGCTCACTCCGTGGCTGTGTTTGATGACACGAAGAGGCCCGAGCCAATCCCCCCCTCCCCCATCACCTGCTTGGGACCTCTCGCCCAGGGTCCAGACTCATCCGAGAGGACGTCGCGGGCTGCAGCAGCAGCGTTTGTGTTGCTATAAAGGGGCCCTAAATACATAAATAAAACACGTTAATATTAAAACACACGATGTTTTTTTACTTGCCCAGTAAAGTAATTGTGTGTGTTTTTTACATTTGCTATACAGCCAGATAGTACGACAAATCGCTAACCTTAAACACCCGGTCGTTTGTAAAAGTCGAAGGCGGTATAGTACTATAGTAATAGAGCAAGTGCAGGATCACTGAACTGGAATTGATCGCTTGAAAGCGTTTAGCGCGGGGCCCTTGAAAGTGCGGGGTCCGTAGCTACCACATGTGTACTACATGGGTACTACATGTGTACTACATGTGTAGCTACTACACGTGTAGTAGCTAGTAGTAGCTATAACTAGCTATAACTAGCTACTACATGTGTACTACATGGGTACTACATGTGTACTAGTAGTAGCTATAACTAGCTACTACTAGCTACTACATGTGTAGTAGTTGCGGGAGGTAGTAGCTACTACATAAATAGTTACTGCACAAAGTGTAGTGTATAGTGTAGTTACTACACATGTAGCTACTACACAAAGTGTAGTGTATAGTGTAGTGTAGCTACTACACGTGTAGCTACTACACAGAGTGTAGTGTATAGTGTAGTGTAGCTACTACACGTGTAGCTACTGCACAAAGTGTAGTGTACAGTGTAGCTACTACACATGCAGCTACTACACATGTAGCTACTACACATGTAGCTACTACACATGTAGCTACTACACAAAGTGTAGTGTATAGTGTGGTGTAGCTACTACACAAAGTGTAGTGTATAGTGTAGTGTAGCTACTACACGTGTAGCTACTGCACAAAGTGTAGTGTATAGTGTAGTGTAGCTACTACACGTGTAGCTACTACACAAAGTGTAGTGTATAGTGTAGTTACTACACGTGTAGCTACTACACAAAGTGTAGTGTATAGTGTAGTGTAGCTACTACACATGTAGCTACTACACAAAGTGTAATGTATAGTGTGGTGTAGCTACTACACAAAGTGTAGTGTATAGTGTAGTGTAGCTACTACACATGTAGCTACTACACAAAATGTAGTATATAGTGTAGTGTAGCTACTACACAAAGTGTAGTGTATAGTGTAGTGTAGCTACTACACGTGTAGCTACTACATACGTAGCTACTTGTGCTACTGGGTTAATAAGACACTGCTTGCCACTATCATCAAAATATAAAAAATACGTCCACAACGGAGGTTCGCCAAAGCACCGCGTGTGTTTAATACGGCCGCGATTCCCTGCAACAACCAAACTGTTTCATGTCGTTGTTTTTAAACACATCGTTGCCAGAAAGGGTAACTACTCCCCTCTATTCTTATTTAAAAACACGCGAGAAGGAGAGCGGTAGGAGGAGAAGGGAGGGAGGGAGGGAGGAGGGGGGGAAGGGATAATTTGCGACTGAGTGACTTAATTGAGATGAGAGTTAATGAGATTACCACTCGCCACTCGCCACCCCCCTCTCGCTTTGTTCTCTTTGTGCTCGCGGGACAATTCCGCGAACGCATCGGACGCGATGCTCCGATGTGTCCGGGGTGGCGCGTCTTGCGCTGTGCGCGAGACGGCGCCGGTGGTGATTGCCCAAGCTCGTGTTGGGCTGCTGTACCCCCCCCCCCACCACCACCAGCAGTGCTGTGTAGTGTATAGTGTAGTAGTGTAGTGTATAGTGTAGTGTATAGTGTAGTGTGTAGTGTAGTAGTGTAGTGTATTGTATAGTGTATAGTAGTGTAGTGTATAGTAGTGTAGTGTATAGTGTAGTGTGTAGTGTAGTGTGTAGTGTAGTGTATAGTGTAGTGTATAGTAGTGTATAGTGTAGTGTATAGTGTATAGTGTAGTGTAGTGTATAGTGTAGTGTATAGTGTATAGTAGTGTAGTGTAAAGTAGTGTATATTGTAGTAGTGTAGTGTATAGTGTAGTGTGTAGTGTAGTGTATAGTGTAGTGTATAGTAGTGTAATGTATAGTGTAGTGTATAGTGTATAGTAGTGTAGTGTATAGTAGTGTAGTGTATAGTGTAGTGTATAGTGTATAGATCATCATCATCATCATGGACACAGATCATCATCATCATGGACACAGATCATCATCATCATGAACACAGATCATCATCATCATGGACACAGATCATCATCATCATGGACACAGATCATCATCATCATGGACACAGATCATCATCATGGACACAGATCATCATCATCATGGACACAGATCATCATCATCAGCATTGTGATGCACCCATTGTCATGCTGATGGCGAGCAGCCTGCACGGCGCTCCATCACCCCCACCCCTCCCACCTCCACCCCTCCCCTCTCTCCCTCCCCTCTCCTCCCTCCCTCCCCCCTCTCCCTCCCACCTGTATAATAGTGTATAGTGTATTGTATAGTAGTGTAGTGTATAGTAGTGTGTAATGTGTTGTATAGTAGTGTGTAGTGTATAGTAGTGTAGTGTATAGTGTAGTGTATAGTAGTGTAGCGTATAGTGTAGTGTATAGTAGCGTATAATGTATTGTATAGTAGTGTATAGTAGTGTGTAGTGTATAGTAGTGTAGTGTATATTGTCGTGTATAGTGTAGTGTATAGTGTAGTGTATAGTGTAGTGTATAGTGAAGTATTTAGTAGTGTAGTGTATAGTAGTGTAGTGTATAGAGTAGTGTATAGTGTAGTGTATAGTGTAGTAGTGTATAGTGTAGTAGTGTATAGTGTAGTAGTGTATAGTGTAGTGTAAAGTGTATAGTGTAGTGTGTAGTGTAGTGTATAGTGTAGTGTATAGTGTAGTGTATAGTGTAGTGTATAGTGTAGTGTGTAGTAGTGTAGTGTATAGTGTAGTGTATAGTGTAGTGTGTAGTAGTGTAGTGTATAGTGTAGTGAATAGTAGTGTAGACTGGATTTACACTTTTCTCCTGTGGCGCTGTGGAGATATAAAACGGGCGGTAGACGTCTTCCGGTGGCAGAAGAGATGTAGAACTGGATTTAGACATCAGACCGGTAGACATCTTTCGGTAGAGATATCAAACTGCATTTATACTGGTAGGAACGAAGTGGACCAGCCTACAATAGATTATTTCGTCCGTCCGTCCGATGTCCGATTACGTGTAGCAACATCGCCCACTACTGCAAACACTTGGCATGACCCTACAAAAACCTTCAGACTCAGTGGGGCTTTCCTGGCTAAACAAGTGTAATAATACATTATGTTTATATTCTTTGGTTATTCGTTCCTACCAGCCCACCCCGCAGGGACCTGTTGCGTCTTCTTGGTTCTTTCGGTAAAGTCACGTAGAATGGAAATAATAAAATAATAAAAATAAAACATAATAAAATAATTCTCACGACGTTTTATTTTATGTTTTATTTTTATTATTTTATTATTTCCATTCTCACGACGTTTTATTTTATTATGTTTTATTTTTATTATTTTATTATTTCCATTCTACGTGAATTTACCGAAAGAACCAAGAAGATGAATCCCTGCAGTCACGAAAGCTTTAAATCGAAATTTGCATTTATACGCTTTCTGGTGGCGGTAGGGATATAAAACGGACGGTAGACGTCTTCCGGTGGCGGTAGAGATATAAAACAGACGGTAGACATCATCCGGTAGAGGCAGAGCTATAGGACTGGATTTAAAAATCATCTTCCAATAACGGTAGAGTTATACTACGGGCGGTAGATGTCTTCCGGTGGAAGTAGAGATATAAAACGGGCAGTAGACATCTTCCGGTGGCAGAAGAGATATAGAACTGGATTTAGCCATCTTCCGGTGGCGGTAGAGCTCTATGAAACACACGGTAGATATCTTCCGGTGGCGGCAGAGCTATAAAACAGGCGGAAGATATCTTCCGGTGGCAGAAGAGCTACAGAACTGGGATTTAGACGTATTCCGGTGGCGGTAGAGATGAATAAAACGGCCGGTAGACATCTTCCGGTGGCGGTAGAGATACTAAGGACAGCCAGGGCAGAGCTACGAGCCCGCGACGCTCTGTCGAGACCCAATTTTTGTTTAATTCTCAGCGTTTTATTTTAATGATTTGTAAAAAAATAAAATATATTAACTGTGATAATAGTTAGAATTCTAACTGTTAGAATCGTTAGAACAGAGGGGTGGGCTAGTTACGATAATAACCTGATGATATTGGCCGGGTCTGTTTTATGCAATTCGCCCTGCCTGTTCGGCGGTTGTAACATTTTAAATTCGGATTGCAATTTACATTTTTTTAAATTGAGGATTAAAACTGTTTAACGATAATAATTTCGTAGCGTTCGTCCATTCCCCGGCTGTACATTTACAACCAATTTTTTTCTTTCAAACGTTAACTATAAATCGTGTTAATCTCTGTCGAGCTCTTAACGCCAATGCAACGTGACGCGATTTAATTCGCGATTAAAATATTGGCGTGACGCGATACAACATTGCGGTATTCACGAATGATATTGACGTGATTAACGCGAGTCTTAACATTGTCCGGTAAAAAATTTGCCTGAACAGGCATCGAACGCATTTTCTATTTAACGGCGTTTCAAATTAAATCGTCAGCTGGTTGTGCCACAATTGTGACTTTTCGTGATATTCGCCTCGTAAATCGGGTGACGAATTCATCAAAAGAGACAACACATTGCCTCTGGCACGAGGAAGGAAGCGATGGCAACATCTGAACGTTAACCTGAGTTTGTGGTGGTGATGATGATGATGATGTCAAGGAAACTCCGAGTTCATCTTTGGTGCTTCGTTCACCTGTCCTACTTGCTGTACACCCTCACAGGTGAGCGGCGAATGTTCCGGGACATCGCGTCAGCCCACACGGATTAACCCAACAGGGTTAAACCCCGTGTTCTTGTTAAAGTCTCTACCCATAGACTCCAGTGTTAAAGTGCCTCCATTAGACTTCAATGTTAAAGTGTCTACCCATAGACTCCAATGTTAAAGTATCTACCCATAGACTTCAATGTTAAAGTGTCTACCATAGACTCCAATGTTAAAGTCTCTACCCAGAGACTCCAATGTTAAAGTGTCTCCCATAGACTCCAATGTTAAAGTCTCTACCCATAGACTCCAATGTTAAAGTCTCTACCCATAGACTTCAATGTTAAAGTGTCTCATAGATTTCAATGTTAAAGTGTCTCCCATAGACTCCAATGTTAAAGCCTCCCATAGACTTCAATGTTAAAGTATCTTCCCATCGACTTAAAGTCTCCCATAGACTTCAATGTTAAAGTGTCTTCCATAGACTCCAGTGTTAAAGTTCCTCCCATAGACTCCAATGTTAAAGTCTCTACCCATAGCCTCCAATGTTAAAGTCTCTACCCACAGACTCCAATGTTAAAGTCTCCCATAGACTTCAATGTTAAAGTGTCTCCCATAGACTCCAATGTTAAAGTGTCCTCATAGACTCCAATGTTAAAGTCTCCCATAGACTTCAATGTTAAAGTGTCTCCCATATACTCCAATGTTAAAGTCTCCCATAGACTGCTATGTTAAAGTGTCCCCATAGACTCCAATGTTAAAGTCTCCCATAGACTTCAATGTTAAAGTGTCTACCCATAGACTCCAATGTTAAAGTGTCTCATAGACTTCAATGTTAAAGTGTCTACCCATAGACTCCAATGTTAAAGTGTCTCATATACTTCAATGTTAAAGTCTCCCATAGACTCCAATGTTAAAGTCTGCCCCGAGACTCCAATGTTAAAGTCTCCCATAGACTCCAATATTAAAGTCTCCCATAGACTCCAATGTTAAAGTCTCCCATAGACTCCAATGTTAAAGTCCCCCATAGACTCCAATGTTAAAGTCTCCCATAGACTACAATGTTAAAGTCTCCCATAGACTCCAATGTTAAAGTCTCTACCCATAGACTCCAATGTTAAAGTGTCTCCCATAGACTCCCATGTTAAAGTCTCCCATAGACTCCCATAGACTTCAATGTTAAAGTATCCCATGGACCCCAATGTTAAAGTCTCTACCCATAGACTTCAATGTTAAAGTCTCCCATAGACTCCAATGTTAAAGTGTCCCCATAGACTCCAATGTTAAAGTGTCCCCATAGACTCCAATGTTAAAGTCTCTCATAAACTTCAATGTTAAAGTCTGGCCAGCACCACGCCCGGCCGCCTTTGTCTCCCCCAGTGGCGATGTTTACTACACCACCGTAACAGGTGACTCATTTGAGGCTGAGTCGACCTAGGGGAGGCACCAGGACCGGTTCACAGTGCCGGGAGCCTTCATAGGTGCTGCTCGCTAACAGCACTTGCCCTTACAGTCTGTTAGAGGCTACACGGGGGATCTTTGTCTTCTGACTTGGGTATGTGGCTGAGTGGGTGGGTGAGTGATTGAGTTTGAGCAGTGAGTGACTCGTTGGGTGGGTGGTTGAGTGAATTCATGGATGAGTGTATCTGTACGTGAGTGGGTGACTGAGTGTGTTGTTGAACGAGTCGGTTGATGAATGAGTGGGTGGGTGAATTAGTAGGTAAATGTATGAGTGAATAGGTGGGTGTGTTGTTGAACGAGTCGGTGGGTGAATGAGTGGGTGGGTGATTGAATGGGTGAGTGGGTGGGTGAGTGGGTGGGTGAATTGATGGGTGAGTGGGTGTGTGAGCGATTATGTGAATGAGTGTTGTTGAACGAGTGGGTGGGTGAACGAGTTGGTAGGTGAATGCGTGGGTGGGTGGGTATCGTGAGGAGGTGATTGAGTGTGTTGGTGAACGAGTGGGTGGGTGAACGGATGAGTGGGTGGGTGGGCGAGTGGGTGGGTGAGTGAATGGGTGAATGGGTGGATGGGTGGGCGAGTGGGTAGGTGAGTGTGTTCTTGAATGAGTGGGTGGGTGAATGAGTAAATGTGAATGCGTGAGTGAGTGGGTGAATGCGTGAGTGAATGCGTGAGTGGGTGAATGAGTGAGTGGGTGAATGAGTGAGTGGGTGAATGAGTGAGTGAGTGAATGCGTGCGTGAGTGAATGCGTGAGTGCGTGAGTGAGTGAATGCGTGAGTGAGTGAATGCGTGAGTGAGTGAGTGCGTGAGTGAGTGAATGCGTGAGTGGGGCTATCGGCGATGGGACAGGTTGTTGACGGTGTGAGTGAGTGAAAGCGTGAGTGAGTGAATGCGTGAGTGAGTGCGTGAGTGAATGCGTGAGTGAGTGAATGAGTGAATGCGTGAGTGAGTGAATGCGTGAGTGCGTGAGTGAGTGAATGCGTGAGTGAATGCGTGAGTGAATGAGTGAGTGGGTGAATGAGTGAGTGGGTGGGTGAGTGAGTGGGTGGGTGAGTGAGTGGGTGAGTGCGTGAGTGAGTGAGTGCGTGAGTGAGTGAATGCGTGAGTGGGGATATCGGCGATGGGATAGGTTGTTGACGGTGTGAGTTAGTGAGTGAAAGCGTGAGTGAGTGTGTGAGTGAGTGTGTGAGTGAGTGAGTGAATGCGTGAGTGAGTGAGTGCTCCAGTTGAATTATTGTGGCCGTGTCGGAGGGAATGGCTGAGTGAGTGTGCGGAGGTCACGTGTGCGGTGGTCACGTGTGCAGGGAGCGGTGGCGCAGTGGTCAGCGTTATAAGCGAACCGGGCAGCGTGCCGAGTTCGATTCCCGCTCACGGCGGTGACGATTTATCCAAACCGGTGCTGGGTCGCCTCTAGGTCGACTCAGCCTGATGCGGTGTGTACGAAACATCGCCACCGGGGGGAGACAAAGGCGGCCGGGCGTGGTGCTGTCCACCCACCCCCTCGTGTGCCACAGTGCCGGCGCTCGCTAACAGCACTTGGCCCCAGCAGTGTGAGAGGCTCTCGGGGGTACTTTGTCTTTGTGATGTGAGTGGGGGCCGGGGGGGGGGGTCCCTGGGTTCGATGTGGGTCATCGGTCGAGGCTGGTGATGGAATGACAGCCAAAGGAGAGAGAGGAGAGAGACAGGGCACGGTGACATCGTCTCGCCCAGTGGTGCTTTGACTGCACACTGGGACACGTGAAACGTTTTTCGATTAGTTACCTTCTCATGGAAAACAATTTGCCCATCTCTCACACCCCCTGGGGGTGCATCACGACCATGTCTCGCACCCTCCCCCCAGAGAGGGCATCTCTCACACCCCCAGGGGATGCGTGATGCACCTGGGGATGTGATTGTGGTGTGTGTGTGATTGTGGTGTTGTGTGTGATGGTGGTGTGTGTGTGATTGTGGTGTGTGTGTGATTGTGGTGTGTGTGATTGTGGTGTGTGTGTGATTGTGTGATTGTGGTGTGTGTGTGATTGTGGTGTGTGTGTGATTGTGGTGGTGTGTGTGTGTGATTGTGGTGTTGTGTGTGATTGTGGTGGTGTGTGTGTGTGATTGTGGTGTTGTGTGTGATTGTGGTGGTGTGTGTGTGTGATTGTGGTGTGTGTGTGTGATTGTGTGGTGTAGTGTGTGATTGTGTGATTGTGGTGTGTGTGTGTGATTGTGGTGTGTGTTTGATTGTGGTGGTGTGTGTGTGTGTGATTGTGGTGGTGTGTGTGTGTGATTGTGGTGTTGTGTGTGATTGTGGTGGTGTGTGTGTGTGATTGTGGTGTTGTGTGTGATTGTGGTGGTGTGTGTGTGTGATTGTGGTGTGTGTGTGATTGTGTGATTGTGGTGTGTGTGTGATTGTGGTGGTGTGTGTGTGTGATTGTGGTGGTGTGTGTGTGTGATTGTGGTGGTGTGATTGTGGTGGTGTGTGTGTGTGATTGTGGTGTTGTGTGTGATTGTGGTGTGTGTGTGTGATTGTGGTGTGTGTGTGTGATTGTGGTGGTGTGTGTGATTGTGGTGTGTGTGTGTCTGATTGTGGTGGTGTGTGTGTGTGATTGTGGTGTGTGTGTGTGATTGTGGTGGTGTGTGTGTGTGATTGTGGTGTGTGTGTGTGATTGTGTGATTGTGGTGTGTGTGTGTGATTGTGGTGTGTGTGTGTGATTGTGGTGTGTGTGTGTGATTGTGGTGTGTGTGTGTGTGTGATTGTGGTGTGTGTGTGATTGTGGTGTGTGTGTGTGATTGTGGTGTGTGTGTGATTGTGGTGTGTGTGTGTGTGATTGTGGTGTGTGTGTGTGATTGTGGTGTGTGTGTGTGATTGTGGTGTGTGTGTGATTGTGGTGTGTGTGTGTGATTGTGGTGGTGTGTGTGTGATTGTGGTGGTGTGTGTGTGATTGTGGTGTGTGTGTGATTGTGTGATTGTGGTGTGTGTGTGTTTGTGTGATTGTGGTGTGTGTGTGATTGTGTGATTGTGGTGTGTGTGTGATTGTGTGATTGTGGTGTGTGTGTGTGATTGTGGTGTGTGTGATTGTGGAGCGTGTGATTGTGGTGTGTGTGTGATTGTGGTGGTGTGTGTGTGATTGTGGTGGTGTGTGTGTGTGATTGTGGTGGTGTATGTGTGATTGTGGTGGTGTGTGTGTGATTGTGGTGGTGTGTGTGTGTGATTGTGGTTACACATATACAGTAGAATGATTGCACGGCGTGTGTGCTACGTGCAATTCGCATGAATGAAGCTCTACGGTATACAAATAACTATCATTGTGAAACGGTGGCACCACCTCCACCACCACCACCGCCACCACCTCCAGCACCACCACCACCACCCCCTCGTTCTGACGGCCGGGGCGATAATCGGGGTTATATTTGGGGTGCAGAATGACGGGAAGGTTATCAGTTGACATGGGCCACGCACGGTTGATAAGAGTGGGACACCGCACGCACACACGTGTACACGCACGCACACACGTGTACACGCACACATCGTGTACACGCATGCACACGTGTACACACACGCATGTGTACACACACGTGTACACGCACGCACACAGGTGTACACGCACGCACACACGTGTACACGCACGCACGTGTACACGCACGCACACGTGTACACGCACGCACACACGTGTACACGCACGCACACACGTGTACACGCACGCACACACGTGTACACGCACGCACACATCGTGTACACGCATGCACACGTGTACACACACGCATGTGTACACACACGTGTACACGCACTCACGCACACACGTGTACACGCACGCACGCACGTGTACACGCACGCACGTGTACACGCACGCACGTGTACACGCACGTGTACACACACGCACGTGTACACGCACGCACACACGTGTACACGCACGCACACACGTGTACACGCACGCACGTGTACACGCACGCACACACGTGTACACACACGCACGTGTACACGCACGCACGTGTACACGCACGCACACACGTGTACACGCACGCACGTGTACACGCACGCACACACGTGTACACACACGCACGTGTACACGCACGCACACACGTGTACACACACGCACGTGTACACGCACGCACGTGTACACGCACGCACACACGTGTACACGCACGCACGTGTACACGCACGCACACACGTGTACACACACGCACGTGTACACGCACGCACGTGTACACGCACGCACGTGTACACGCACGCACGTGTACACGCACGCACACACGTGTACACACACACACACGCAGCACACACATGTACTGCGTGTGCGTGTGTGCGTCGAACCCGGCCACCCGAGTTCGACTCCTGCTCAGGGCCACCACCTACCCTGGTGACCGATGACCTGAACTGGTCCTGGGCCTCCCCTAGGTCGACTCGGCCTCAAATGAGTACCCGCTGGTCGGATGGCCGAGTGTTGTATTTGTGTGTGTGTCTGGGTGGTTTGTTTTTACTTTTCTTGTACTTTACACTCCTATCGCGTTTGTGTAACTGTGTTGTTGCTGTAACGTTCTTAGCCCTGTGCCCCCTCACTGGGACATCTGTGAGTGAAAGAGCTTGAGAGCTCATCGGATTTCTCCTGCGGTAGACATAATGATTCTGATTCCGAACAAAATGCATTTTTTTTATTTCAATTTAAAGCTTTCGTGACTGCAGGGATTCATCTTCTTGGTTCTTTCGGTAAAGGCACGTAGAAGGGAAACAATAAAATAATAAAATAAAACATAATAAAATAATTCTCACGACGTTTCAGCCACAACGCGAGCAGCCGTCCTCAGGTCTGTCGGGGAGACAGCGTCGTGAGAATTATAATGTTTTATTTTTATTATTTTATTATTTCCCTTCTACGTGACTTTACCGAAAGAACCAAGAAGAGAAAAATGCATCTTCTGATGATGTGCAAACATCGCCAGCGGGGAGACAAAGGCGGCCTGGCACGCGTGGCTGGTGCCCCCCCCCCCCCCCACCTCGTGCGCCGTGCCGCCCTTCGTAGGCGCCGCTGCGACTCGGCACTTGCCCTCGCCCCCACCAAGTATGGCGAGTCTACCCGGGGGACCTTTGCCTGTGCCTTTGTCTGCAGACGCGTGCCCGGGCAGGCTGACGTGCGCCCTCCTGCGCCGGGAGCCGTGCCCCGCTGGGAGCCGCGCCTGTGGGCCCTGCCGTGCCCTGCACACGCTCGGAGCGCAAGGGCACTGCGTCTCGGGTAGGGGCCTGAGAGGGAGCCGTGGTCGTGAGCCTCCTCCCTCCTCCCCCGTAGAGACAGAGAGACCCACGCAGAGAGACACAGACTCACACAGAGAGAGACACAGACTCACGCAGAGAGCCACAGACTCACACAGAAAGCCACAGACTCACACAGAAAGCCACAGACCCACACAGAGACCGACAGACCCACACAGAGACCGACAGACCCACACAGAGACCCATAGACTCACACAGAGACCCACATACCCACACAGAAAGCCACAGACCCACACAGAGACCGACACACCCACACAGAGACCGACAGACCCACACAGAGACCCATAGACTCACACAGAGACCCACATACCCACACAGAGAGCCACAGACCCACACAGAGACCCACAGACCCACATAGAGACCCACACAAAGAGCCACAGACCCACACAGAGAGCCACAGACCCACACAGAGACCCACACCCCCTCCCTGTAGTGGTGGTGCCGGTAGTGTTGAGCTGCTGCTGCTGCCGTCTGTCCCCTCGTAGACGACCGGAGGCACCGGCTGGGTCTCCCGGGCGACGACGCCGACGAGGAGGAGGAGTTCATCGCCTCCGTGTTGAGCGGCGCGCACACCACCACCACCGCCACCAGCGGCGGTGACGGTGACGGTGGCGGTCACGGTGGTGGCGACGGTGACGGTGGTGGCGGAGCCTCAGAGCCCCGTGCGGGCGAGCAGAGACGCGGCGGGAAGGCCCACGGGCAGCAGTGGCAGCACCTGCGGGGCGCGTCATCGCCTGGCGCGTCACCGCCTGGCGCGTCACCGCCTGGCGCGGCGGTCTCGGCCACGGTGTGGCGGGGGCAGGAGGAGCAGCAGGAGGAGGAGGAGGAGACGCGGCGTGGGAAGTCTCGCGGCAGGGAGGGCGACGACACGAAGGAGGATCCCGGGAGAGCCGGGGACACGAGGGAGAGCCGTCGCCATCGCGCCGGGCGGAGGGGGAAGGGGGCCCACGGCGAGGCGGCGATGAGCGGTGGAGGTGGAGGAGGTGGAGGAGGTGGAGGAGGTGGAGGAGGTGGAGGAGGTGGAGGAGGAGGTGGAGGGGGTGGGGGGGGCCACGACTCCACTCCGCGGGCCCACACCGTGTGGAGGATCGACGCTCAGCAGATCTCGACGCGGCACGAGATCGGCGGAGAGATCGAGGAGGAGGAGGAGGTGGTGGACGTGAAGACGCTGCAGCAGCAGCAGCAGACGCGGGGCAGAGGCACCGGCGGTGGTGGTGGCGGTGGTGGCAATGGCGGTGGTCATGCGAAGAAACCTGTCACCATGACCACCATCAGTGGTGGTGGTGGTGGCGATGGTGGTGCTGGCGGTGCTGGTGGTGGTGACGGTACATCCGGACAGAACAGCGAGCCGGGTGGAGGAGGAGGATCGGACGTAGGGGTGGACATCGCCAGCACGACGACAAAAGACCACGAGGACGAGGAGGTGGTGGTGGTGGCGGCGGCGGTGGCGACGGTCGGAGGAGACAGATCGGACGACCTGGAACCGGAAATCTCGAAGCCTCTCGGCACGGTGGCGGGGAGACTGGCGGCATCCAAGTCGGCGAGTGCCCCGAGCCCCCTGCTGTTGGGTGAGTGGAGTTTGTATGATCTCCCCCTGTTCTACAGAGTGAGTGAGTGGAGTTTGTATGATCTCCCCCTGTTCTACAGAGTGAGTGAGTGGAGTTTGTATGATCTCCCCCTGTTCTACAGAGTGAGTGAGTGGAGTTTGTATGATCTCCCCCTGTTCTACAGAGTGAGTGAGTGGAGTTTGTATGATCTCCCCCTGTTCTACAGAGTGAGTGAGTGGAGTTTGTGTGATCTCCCCCTGTTCTACAGAGTGAGTGAGTGGAGTTTGTATGATCTCCCCCTGTTCTACAGAGTGAGTAGAGTTTGTATGATCTCCCCCTGTTCTACAGAGTGAGTGAGTGGAGTTTGTATGATCTCCTCTTGTTCTATAGAGTGAGTAGAGTTTGTATTATCTCCCCCTGTTCTACAGAGTGAGTGGAGTTTGTATGATCTCCCCCTGTTCTACAGAGTGAGTGGAGTTTGTGTGATCTCCCCCTGTTCTACAGAGTGAGTGAGTGAGTGGAGTTTGTGTGATCTCCCCCTGTTCTACAGAGTGAGTAGAGTTTGTATGATCTCCCCCTATTCTACACAGAGAGAGAGAGCGTTCGTGATGGGGCAGTTGTGGAAGGAGTGGAGAGGTTTCCCTACCTGGGCAGGGTGCACATGACCAGCTCCAGTTTGACAGCAGAAGTCTCACAGTCAGTCGAGCGCCATTATCTTCTCATCAGCTGACTAACGCTGTGTTGAAGCTTCAGGTCTTCTCAGTCACGGTCATGCCCTTCCTTCTGTATGTGGACCCCCCTAATGGAACATCTTCGCCGGTTAGAAATATTTAGGCTGGCCTGCCTACGATCCATCCTGGGTTTAACCAGCCTGGATTTTGTGAGGAGGTCACAAATCCTTGAAAGATCTGGACACAGTCACATCGGTGAGCTCCTCCGGCAGGCAAGGCTGCGTTGGCTGGGTCATGTAGCCCGCATGCCCAGTCACCGCATGCCCAAGTAACTTCTGTTTGGCCGCATAGAGGGAGCTGAACGGGCGCGACACGGGCTAGAGAAGAGATGGAGTGACGTGGTACAGGAGGACGTGGAGCTGAGTGGACTTGCCGATAACTGGTACCAGCGGTGTCGAGATCGGCCTCTGTGGAGGAGGCTCGTGAAGGACGCTACTGGGCAGTTGGAGGCAGTCGCCCTCCAACAACAACGGAGGGCGGAGGAGCGACGCTCACAACAACGAGCGGAGCGCCGGGCGGCTAAAACACAGCGAGTTGGCACTGTAGGGGGTACAGTCGGTGTACATCTGCCAGTCATCTTGGTCAACCCATGTCATGGTCTGTCCCGTGACCTCCTCCTGTCAGCGAACCTTCGACACTTCACGTGGCCTCGCAGTGCACCTAGCCTGGCACAGGGGCCGTGGTGACGTCACCGCCACTTAGAGGCAAATGGCGGTGGTTGTTGTTGAGTGACAATTATTTGAACCGGTCCTGGGCCTCCCCTAGTCCGACTCGGCCTGAAATGTGTACCGGCTGTGGAGCGCGGTAAACTTCTCCACTCCTCGTGCGCCGTACCGGCCTCGGTCAGCGCTGCTACCGCTGGTGATGCTCGCCAACAGCACTCGGCCCGACAGTCTGTCAAAGGCTACCTGGGTGACCTTTGTCTCTTGTGTGCCTGGCACAGTGGCGGCGATGGTGAGCACAGTGGCGGCGGTGTCTGCCCTCATAACCATGGCAGCGTGCTGGTACAGGTGAGACCACCACCACCACCATCGCCACCATCGCCACCACCACCATCGCCACCACCACCATCGCCACCACCACCATCACCACCACCACCATCGCCACCACCACCATCGCCACCACCACCATCGCCACCATCCCCACTTCCATCACCACCACCACCATCGCCACCATCCCCACTTCCACCACCACCACTATCATCGCCACCACCACCATCGCCACCATCCCCACTTCCATCACCACCACCACCATCGCCACCATCCCCACTTCCACCACCACCACTATCATCGCCACCACCACCATCGCCACCATCCCCACTTCCATCACCACCATCGCCACCACCACTGCCACCCCCACCAGTACCACCACCACTATCAGCACCACCACCACCACCTCCATCCCCACTTCCACTACCACCACTGCCACCACAACCACCACCAAAACTGCTACCGCCGTAAGCACCACCGCCGCCACCACCACTGTCACCACCGCCGCCATCACCACCACCACCTCCATCACCACTTTTACTACCACCACCGCCACCACAACCGCCACCAAAACTGCTACCGCCGCCACCGCCACCACCACCACCTCTATCACCACTTCCACTTCCACCACCACCACCGTATGTATACATGCGGAGCGGTAGTGCAGTGGTGAGTGCACTGCGCTACGAACCCAGCGACCCAAGTTCGATTCCCGCTCACGACCAACACCAGTGACGATTATCTGAATCGGGGCCTCCCCATAGGTCGACCCAGCCTCAGATGGGTACCTGGTGCGGTGCGTAGTAAACATCGCCACTGGGGAGACAAAGGCGGCCGGGCGTGGTGCTGGCCACCCACCCCCTCGTGCGCCACCGTGCCGGCCTCCATTGGCGCTGCCGCTCGCCACGAACAGCACTTGCCCCGACAGTCTTGCGAAGGCTACGTGGGGGACCTTTGTCTTTGTGTTTGCAGGCTGCACCGTGCAGGCGGCATGGTGCAGAAGGCAGACTACAGGGTGTGCAGCGCCCACTCGCCCGGCTCGCAGAGACCCCCAACGCTGCCGGTACGCAGGTCACCACCGCTCTGTGTGTGTCGTGTGTGTGTCGTGTGTGGTGTGTGGTGTGTGGTGTATGTGTGTGCTGTGTGTCGTGTGTGCTGTGTCGTGTGTGGTGTGTGTCGTGTGTGTGTGTGTCTTGTGTGTGTGTTGTGTGTGTTTGCTGTGTGTGTGTTGTGTGTGCGGGTTGTGTTGTGTGTATTGTGTGTGTGTCGTGTGTGTGTCGTGTGTGTGGGTTGTGTTGTGTGTGTCGTGTGTGTAGTGTGTTATGTGCTGTGTGTGTGTGTTGTGTGTAGTGTGTGTGTGTTGTGTGTAGTGTGTGTGTGTTATGTGTCGTGTGTGTGGATTGTGTCCTGTGTGTGTCGTGTGTTTTTCCCGAGTAAATCATCATTGAGTCGACGTGTTTCACAGACACAGCAATGTTGCTGCGTGGTCGCGCCGAGGGGCACCCCCAGCGGCAGCTTGGGGTGCCCCTAGGCGTGCTTGTGAGAGTTTGTGTGGTTTTTCCGTTCCTCCTCCTCCTCCGTTGAAGGGGCGCAGACTGCCGTGGCGTTGGCAGTGTGCTCCACCACTTGGGTTGCACGGCCACAGACTCTCTCCTGCGGCTTGCCTGTCACAAATCTCTATAGATCTCGACGGTGCACTGTGTCTCTCCGTCTTTGTCTGCTGTGTGTGTGTACAGCGTGCAGACAGCAGACTGGCTCACAGGGCACAGCTGTATCACTACCAGCAGAAGAGACAGCAGCTTATGGCTATGGACAGGTAGGTGTACGTGTGTGTGTGTGTGTCCACGTGTGTGTGTGTCCACGTGTGTGTGTGTGTGTGTCCACGTGTGTGTGTGTGTGTACATACAACAAGACACACACAGACACAACAACAACAACCGCCATTCGCCACTAAGTGGGGGTGACATCACCACGGCGCTTGTGCCAGGCTATGTGCAGGTTAAGGCCACGTCAAGTGTCGAACACCTGCTGGTAGGAGGTCACGGGGCAGACCCAGGTGCGCTGGGTTGACTGAGATGACTGGCCGATGCACCACCTGTGCCCCCTACTGGGCCAACTTGCTGTGCTTTAGCCTCCCGGCGCTCCGCTCGTTGTTGTGAGCGTCGCTCCTCTGCCCAGTAGCGTCCTTCACGAGCCTCCTCCACAGAGGCCGATCTTGACACCGCTGGTACCAGTCATCGGCAAGTTCACTCAGCTCCACATCCTCCTGTACCACATCACTCCATCTCTTCTCTAGCCTGTGCTGTGCCCGATTAGCCCCCTCGATCTGGCCGAACAAAAGCTGTTTAGCCATGCAGTGGCTGGGCATGCGGTGATTGGGCATGCGGGCTACATGGCCCAGCCAACGCAGCCTTGCCAGCCGGAGGAGGTCACCAATGGGACTTTGTCCACATCTTTCAAGGATTTGTGAGCTCCTCACACAATCCAGCCTGCAGGTTAAACCCAGGATGGATCGTAGGCAGGCCAGCCTAAATGTTTCCAACCGGCGAAGATGCTCCATTATGGGTGTCCACGTTTCGCAAGCGTAGAGAAGGGAGGGAATGACTGTGGCCGAGAAGACCTGAAGCTTCTTGTGGAGCGACAGACCAGGCAGCTTCCACACAGCGTTACGCAGGCGATGAAAAGATGATGCCGCTCGACTGATTCGGAGTGAGACAGAGATAAAGATCCCCCGTGTAGCCTTAACAGACTGTAGGGGCAAGTGCTGTTAGCGAGCACCTATAAAGGCCTGCATGGCATGCGAGGGGGTGGGTGGCCAGCACCACGCCCGACCGCCAGAGACACACACACACACAGACACACACACAGATACACAAAGACACACAGAGATACACACACAGACAGAGACACACACAGACACACAGAGACGCACACACAGAGACACACAGAGATACACACACAGACAGAGACCTACAGACACAGACACACACACACAGACACACACACACCGACACACACACACAGAGACACACTCAGAGACACACCGACACACACACACAGACACACACACAGAGACACACACACAGAGACACACACAGGCAGAGACACACACACACAGAGACACACACACACAGAGACACACACACACAGCCAGAGACACACACACAGACAAACACACACACACAGCCAGAGACACACACAGACACACACACACACACACAGAGACACACACACACACAGAGACACACAGAGACATACACACACACACAGACACAGACACACACACAGCCACACACACACACAGAGACACACACACAGAGACACACACAGACACACAGAGACACACACAGAGAGACACACACAGAGACACATACACACACAGACACACACAGAGAGACAAGACCGAGTGCACTCACCGCCGCCCGCCCCGCAGGGAGACGGAGGAGTCGCAGACCCCGAACTCGCTCACCGACTCGGAGAACGAGGAGGGAGACATCACCGTGTACGAGTGCCCCGGCCTCGCGCCGGTGAGGGGGTGGGGGGGCCGCGGTGATGGTGGCGGTGATGGTGGCGGTGATGGTGGCGGTGATGGTGGTGATGGGCGGTGGTGATGGTGGTGGTGGTGATGGTGGTGGTGATGGTGGCGATGGTGGTGGTGATGGTGGTGGTGATGGTGGTGGTGGTGATGGTGGTGATGGTGGTGATGGTGGTGGTGATGGTGGTGGTGATGGTGGTGGTGATGGTGGTGGTGATGGTGGTGATGGTGATGGTGGTGATGGTGATGGTGGCGGTGATGGTGGTGGTGATGGTGGTGGTGATGGTGGTGGTGATGGTGGTGGTGATGGTGTTGTGATGGTGATGTTGTTGCTGTGGTGATGGTGATAATGTTGTTGCTGTGGTGATGGTGATGATGTTGTTGCCTTGGTGATGGTCGTGGTGATGGTGGCGGGGTGGTGGTGATGATGATGTTGCCGTGGTGATGGTCGTGGTGATGGTCGTGGTGATGGTGACAGGTTGGTGGTGGTGATGATGATGTTGCCGTGGTGATGGTCGTAGTGATGGTGGCGGTGTGGTGGTGGTGATGTTATAGCTGTGGTGATGGTGGTGATGGTTTTTTTTCTGCGGTGATGGTTGTGATGGTGATGTATTGCTGTGGCGATGGTGATGATGTTGTTGTGATGGTGGTCATGATGTTGTTGCTGTGGTGGTGATGGTGGCGATGGTGGTTCGTGCGTGTGCGCGTGTGTGCGTGTGCGCGTGTGTGTGCGTGCGTGTGTGCGTGCGTGTGTGTGCGTGTGTGTGTGCGTGCATGTGTGTGCGTGTGTGTGTGTGTGCATGTGTGTGCGTGCGTGTGTGTGTGCGTGTGTGCGCGTGTCACAGACCGGGGAGATGGAAGTGAACAATCCACTGTTTGACGAGATGAGAGCAAACTCACCCTCGCACACACCCGGCCGCTAACACCCAGCACTTACACACACCTACACACACACATGTACACACGCATGTACACACACACACATGTACACACACCTACACACACACACACATGTACACACACCTACACACACACACACATGTACACACATCTACACACACACATGTACACACACCTACACACACATGTACACATGTACACACACACATGTACACATGTACACACACACACATGTACACACACCTACACACACACATGTACACACACCTACACACACACATGTACACACACATGTACACACACCTACACACACACACATGTACACATGTACACACACCTACACACACACATGTACACACACCTACAACAACAACAACCGCCATTCGCCACTAAGTGGCGGTGACATCACCACGACGCTTGTGCCAGGCCAAGTGCACCTTGAGGCCACGTGAAGTGTCGAACGCCCGCCGACAGGAGGTCACGGGGCAGACCCAGCAGGTGCCACGGGTCGACTGACTGAGATGACCGAGATGACTGGCTGATGCACCACCTGTGCCCCCTACTGTACCAACTTTCTGTGCTTTAGCCACCCGGCGCTCCGCTCGTTGTTGTGAGCTTCGCTCCTCCGCCCTCCGTTGTTGTTGGAGGGCGACTGCCTCCAACTGCCCAGTAGCGTCCTTCACGAGCCTCCTCCACTGAGGCCGATCTTGACACCGCTGGTATCAGTCATCGGCAAGTCCACTCAGCTCCACGTCCTCCTGTACCATATCACTCCATCTCTTCTCTAGCCCGTGCCGCGCCCATTTAGCCCCCTCTATCCAGCAGAACAAAAGCTGTTTAGGCATGCGGTGGCTGGGCATGCGGGCTACATGACCCAGCCAACGCAGCCTTGCCCGCCGGAGGAGCTCACCGATGGGACTTTGACCAGATCTTTCAAGGATTTGTGAGCTCCTCACACAATCCAGCCTGGTTAAACCCAGGATGGATCGTAGGCAGGCTAGCCTAAATGTTTCCAACCGGCGAAGATGCTCCATTAGGGGGGTCCACGTTTCGCAAGCATAGAAAAGGGAGGGAATGACCGTGGCCGAAAAGACCTGAAGCTTCGTGCGGAGCGACAGACCAGGTAGCTTCCACACAGCGTTACGCAACCGATGAAAAGATATTGCCGCTCGACTGATTCGGAGTGAGACCTCTGCTGTTAAACTGGAGCCGGTCATAAGCACACTGCTCAGGTATGGGAAACTCTCCACTCTCCACTACTGCCCCATCACCGATTGGGAGTTGTGGGGGTGGAGTGTCCGATGGTACAAAATACCCAGGCAGGTGCTTAGTTTTGGTGGGGCTGATGGTAAGGCCCTACCTCTTAGTGGCACGCTCCAGTTTCAGCAGCAGCGTCTCCAACTCCTCTTCTGAATGAGCAGCTATTACCAAATCATCGGCATACTTATAGTGGTTGACCAATAGGGAGCCATCCCTTGACCGCACCCGGGCATCGATCAGCCTCCCATTATATCTGTACCAAATGGAAATTCCCCCGGTACAGCTATTGAGGGCTTCATGAACCACGCGGTCAAAATAGATGTTAAATAATGTGGGAGCCAGAGGACATCCCTGTCGCACCCGAAGGTGTACAAGGAATGGCTCTGACTTCCGGCCACATAGTTTTACCCGGGCCCGCTCACCATCATGAAGGTCCTTAATGATCGTGAGCAGAGGGTCAGGGACTCCGAAAAAACGAAGAACAACCCAGAGCCCAGTCCTACTGATGGTATCATAGGCCTTGACCAGGTCAATAAAGCAGAGATGTAGGTCTTGTTGGAATTCCCTACACATCTGTGCAGGACCGCCCACACACACACACCCACTACTAAACACACACACTACCACACACACACAACTACTGCATACACACACACTACCACACACCCACTACTACACACACACAACTACTGCATACACACACACTACCACACACCCACTACTAAACACACACACTACAAACACACAACTACTGCATACACACACTACCACACACACACTACTACACAACAACAACAACAACCGCCATTCGCCACTAAGTGGCGGTGACGTCACCACGATGCTTGTGCCAGGCCAAGTGCACACACACACTACCACACACACTACCGCACATACACACTACTACCACACACACTACCACACACGCTACCGCGCACATCCACTACTAAACACACTACCACACACATCCACTACTAAACACAAAGATCCCCCGTATAGCCTTAACAGACTGTAGGGGCAAGTGCTGTTAGCGAGCACCTATGAAGGCCGGAACGGTACACGAGGGGGTGGGTGGCCAGCACCACGCCCGACCGCCTTTGTCTCCCCAGTGGCGATGTTTACACACCGCACCAGGTACTCATTTAAGGCTGAGTCGACCTAGGAGAGGCCCAGGACCGGTTCAGATAATCGTCACTGGTGTTGGCCGTGAGCTGGAATCGAACCCGGGTCGCTAAGTTCATAGCGCAGCGCGCTAACCGCTACACTATCGCTCCCCACAACTACTAAACACACACACTACCACACACACACACTACTGCATTCACACACACACTGCAAGACACACACACTACCACACACACCCACTACTAAACACACACTACCACACACTACTAAACACACGCACTACCACACAAATCCACTACTAAACACACTACCATACACACACACTACTGCATACACACACACACTATCACACACACTACTAAACACACACACTACCACACACACTTCCACACACACTACCACACACATCCACTACTAAACACACACACTACCACACACACACTATTGCATACACACACACTACTGCATACACACACACCCTACCACACACTACTAAACACACACTACCACACACACACCGTTATATACCAATCGCACACACACTGTATAATTGTCATCTCACGAAACCCATCATGTAAAGAGTTGTTTCATGTCCTATTCTTAAACGTGTGGTGACGTTATGATTACGACGATTTGATTATTGTTGCTGTTATGATTATTATGATTGCCGTATTAACGTCGTGGTTTGTGGTTTCATTGCCGAGTGCACAATGCTTGAAATTATAAATTGTAGTGTATCGATTACTGCGGTCTCGTCCCTGTCTCGTTCACACAACAACTTTGTGGACCACCCACCGAGAGAGACACACGGGACGACACCCTGGGACTCGAAGCCTGGGTCTCCTGCTGGTGTCTTTATCAGCATCATCAATGTCATCAGCAGCAGCGGCAGCATTATCAATATCGTCATCAGCATTGTCTTTATAGCATCATCAATATCATCAGCAGCAGCATCAATATCAGCAGCATCGTCAATATCGTCATCAGCAGCATTATCAACACCATCATCGGCAGCATTATCAATATCAGCAGCATTATCAATGTCATCGCAGTAGCATTATCAATATAATCTGCAGCATCATCAATATCGTCATCAACATCATCAATATCGTCATCAGTATTGTCAATATCAGCATCGGCAGCATTGTCAACAGCAGCATTATCAATATCAGCATCGGCAGCAGCATTATCTATATCATCAGCAGCATTGTCTTTATCAGCATCATCAATATCATCAGCAGCATTATCAATATCAGCAGCATTATCAATATCGTCAGCAGCATTATCAATATCATCAGCAGCAGCATTATCAATATCACCAGCAGCATTATCAATATCATCTGCAGCATTATCAATATCAGCAGTATGATCAATATCAGCAGCATTATCAATATCAGCATCAGCAGCATTATCAATATCATCAGCAGCATCAATATCAGCTTCACATTCTATTATCAAAATCATCATCAGCAGGTTAGTGGTGGGGGAGTTGTTTATAGGCACGGACCGGCTTCCACATTCAGTCTCTCATCATCATCATCAGCAGCAGCAGTATCAGAGTGAGCTGCCCAGATGTTTGGACTACGAATTGTTGAGGGTGCTCACCCCAACCCCCACCACGTGACCACACCTCACCGGTTGGCTTCCGTCAGCCCACGGGCTTCAAGGAGTTCAGGAGAAATTTCGATGTAAAGCTTCTTTCGTGACTGCAGGGATTCATCTTCTTGGTTCTTTCGGTAAAGTCACGTAGAATGGTAATAATAAAACATAAGAAACGTCGTGAGAATAATTTTATTATGTTTTATTTTTAAATCCTTTATATTAAGTTCACTTGCTTGCGCGCTTACGACCGTGCAAATCTTTCGGTCGTTTTTTAACCCACTTCCCGTGATCCATTCGAGCTGACATTTTGCACACAGACTCGTTGTGCGAGACAATTAATTTTCGTGAAATTTTTTCCACAAAATTTTACACTGTTTAGGAAAAAAAAATATTTAATTACCAATTGCTTAATGGTGGCAGACAATCATCTGACCCATAGGTGGCAGCCATCTCAAGCCAGAGGACGAGAGGACTCTAGCCGCCACGCATATAAAGGATTTATAGTGAAGAACTTTGTTTTTACGGGTTAATTTTGTATTGTTTTATTATTTCCATTCTACGTGACTTTACCGAAAGAACCAAGAAGATGAGTTCAGGAGACGTCTGACTCGGTGGTTTTAGAGCCTTGCACGGGCTGGCAACCACCGCCTTCATATTCATGAGTCGATTAATCCACCCCCTCCCCTCCCTTCAAGGTAGTTAAGATCTGCAGATTCCGCCCCAAAGAAACCCTTAGTCCCTCTCTCACCGCCGGTGTCAGACGAGAGAACGACGCCTCAAGGCGGGCAGCACTAGGGCAATGCCACACGCATCAGCGTTGAAAGCTCGGGGCGAGCAGCAGCTGTGTCATAGGATACCTTTTGCCAGAATGAAAGTATAAACACATTCCTCCTGCGGAGGGAGCTGGTAGGAACGTCGGGTTGCTCGGTCAATGGCCTGCAGGGTCAACGGCGGCGTGGTGTATTCCGCAAATATGCCCGTTCCTGTGACCCGTTCGTAAGTCGGAGCACAGTAATCTGTTTACTCAAAAATTGTAATGCTCGCACTCCCAGCACGAAGCCGACTCGTTAACATCGCGCGAAGGATCGCTGAGCTGAGCAAAACAGGTTCAATGTGCAAGCGAGAGTTGGTGTTTTAAGTCGATGTTACAATAAAAGAGTTCGCGGAAGCTGGTGTTCGTAAGTGCGGCCGTCCGTAAGTCGGGTGTCCGTAAGTCGGGTGTTTGTAAGCCGGGTGTCCGTAAGTCGGGTGTTTGTAAGTCGGGTGTTCGTAAGTCGAGTGCTCGTATGTAAAGTGTTCGTAAGTAAGGGACCGACATCCAGTCGGCCATGTTACTACGGGGTAATGAGTCATACAGGGCACGTGACGTCACCCCATACAGGGTACACACCGCAGCGCGTCACTACATCGCCCCTACGCAAGATGGCCGCCGGATGGTAGGTTTATGACGTCATCCAATGCCATGGCGCTGTACATCGACGCGTCACTCCACCTTCCCCCTACGCAAGATGGCCGCCGAGTGCCTGACGTCACTGAATAATCGGGCTAAAACAAACATTTCAAATATACAAATAACAAAATAAACCGGCAGTATGTTTCCCTCACGTAATCCATATTTGACGCGTAATTGTGTCGATATTTATTTTTTAACAGTCAAATTTTTAACATCAACTCTCCACAATCCTGTTGGGGAGTTGAGTGGGGGAGGGGCAATGGACGCGCTCGCGATTTTGGCGGGAAATGAGCGAACGGCGGTGGCGGCGGCTTGACGAGTGAAATGGCGGCCGCGTCGTCGTCTTCGTCTCCTCCTGAGGAGGGGAACTCAGTCGCCTCACAGCAGAAGAAGAAGCGCAAAGTGGTCGCCTCGGGCGAGACGTTGACGTCGCTCCGCGGCTTCAAACTCGTCCGGGTCCTAAACGACAACCCGAGGCAGAAGGTCGTCTTCCTGCACGCAAAGTGGAGCGGGGAGGCGAAGGTAGTTTTATGTTGTTGGTGTTAATGTTGTTATTGTTGTCGTTATTGTTCTCGCTATTGTTGTTAATGTTGTTGTTGTCGTTATTGTTGTTGTCGTTATTGTTGTTGACGTTATTGTTGTCATTGTTGTTGACATTGTTGTTGTCGTTATTGTTGTCAACGTTATTGTTGTTGACGATGTTGTCGTTATCGTTGTTGTCGTTATCGTTGTTGTCGTTATCGTTGTTGTCGTTATTTCGATGTAAAGCTTTCGTGACTGCAGGGATTCATATTCCTGGTTCTGTCGGTAAAGTCACGTAGAAGGGAAATAATAAAATAATAATAAAAATAAATATAGTTTTATATTATTTTATTATTTCCCTTTCACTCCGTCGTTATTGTTGTCGTTATTGTTGTTATTATTGTTATTAATGTTGTTATTGTCGTTATTGTTATTATTGTTGTCGTTATTGTTGTTATTGTCGTTGTTGTTATTAATGTCGTTATTGTTGTTATTGTTATTATTATTGTTATCGTTATTGTTGTTATTAATGTCGTTATTGTCGTTATTGTTGTTGTTATTGTCGTTGTTGTTGTTATTATTGTTGTTATTGTTATTATTGTTATTATGGTTGTTATTAATGTTGTTGTCGTTATTGTTGTTATTATGGTTGTTATTAATGTTGTTGTCGTTATTGTTGTCGTTATTGTTGTTGTCGTTACCATTAACTTAAATCGCCACCGTCAGCCGTGCCCTATCCACTGCTGGATGAAGGCCCTCACGCATCGGCCCCTCATCGCACTCAGTCGACCCGTGGCTCCTGCCGGGTCTGCCCCGTGACCTCCTCCTGCCAGCGGGCGCTCGACACTTCACGTGGAAGCCTCAACGTGCACCTAGCCTGGCACAAGCGCCGTGGTGACGTCACCGCCACTAGTTGTTGTTGTTGATCCGCCAACCCGGGACAATGACACGAGTTGATGAATAACTTCAACTGGAATGAACAACCCCTGAACCCCGTACTCTTAGTTCTTTCGGTAAAGTCACCACGTAGGTAAAAAATGAAATTAAAATTAATAAAAATAAAAATCACGACGTTTCGGAGGCAACACAAGTCTCCGTCATCAGGTTGGGACCGTCACAGCCAGATTTGCTGCATCAAGTGAGGCAGGGATTTCAAGATGCAAGTTCTTAAATACAAGTTAAGGGGGAGGAGAGGGGGGGGAGGGGCTTATCAGAATGTGGTAGCCAATGAATGGAACGTATCGAGAGTGGGGGCGGGGCTAAAAGAGATCACGAGGTGCACGTGTACGTGGACATGCCTGTGCACAAGCACCTGTTGGTGCACATGATAGCAGAGAACGAAAATTCCCATGTTGTTTATACCAGTGTTGGCTGACAATAAAGAGTAATAATAATAAAAAGTGGGCCATTCCTGCCCCTTCCCCCCTCTCAACCATTATATATATACGGAGTGGTATCTCCTGTAATCTCTCATTTACTTGATACAGCTGTCGGGCTGTGACGGTTCCACCTGAAGACGGAAGCTTGTGTTGCCTCTGAAACGTCGTGATTTTTATTTTATTTAACTTTTATTAATTTTAATGTTTTACCTACGTGACTTTACCGAAAAAACCTAAGAATATGAATCCTTGCAGTCACGAAGCTTCAAATCTAGAATAAAGAGAGTACTGTTAAACACTGGGGATGTTAACACTCGGTAAAGTAAAATAGTGCCTGTCAGATAAGATGGTCCAAAAATGCCTATTGCTGCTCCCGCAGGGTGACGATGGTGACGATGGTGGTGGCGATGGTGATGATGGTGAGAGGGGTGAGGAGGAGGAGGAGGCTCGTGATGCCGTCGTGATCCTGGAGAAGACTCCGTTCCGCGAGTCCCAGCTGCCCGCCCTGCTGAGTGGTGACACGGAGCTGCAGGGAGACCTCCACAACGACATCTACGGCACCTACACGGCACGGCCACCGCCAGCGAGCAGCGGTGCGTGCACAGCCACTGCAACAGCAGTCGGATCAATCGTAGCAAGTTGATCAATTTGATCAATCGTAGCAAGTTGATCAATTTGATCAATCATAGCAATCGGGTTTAATGGTAGCAATTGTAGCGATACGATTAATCATAGCAATCGAATCAATCGGATCAATTGCAGCAGTCTGATCAATCGTAACAATTTGATAATTCAGATCAATCATATCAATTTGCTCAGTTGTAGACATTGTAGCAATCTGATTAATCATAACAATCGGATCAATTGTATTAATCACATCATTCGGATCAATCATATCAATTTGCTCAATCGTAGACATCGCAGCAATCTGATTAATCGCGTCACGTGGTGCTGAGCCCGCCAGAAGCGCTTTATGGAATACAAATCGAGGGCGTGGCTATGCACAACAGACAACTAATCCCTGGTGGGCAGTGGGGAGCTGCTGTTGCTACCTCTGTAAAGGAGTAAAATGGGGACGTGACGTCAGGTGTGCCGTTCAGTGCGATGACGTCACGTCTCCTAGAGTACTTAAGGGATACCCCGTGACGTAAGCGGGGTCACTGGGAACGGGTAGAGTAAGCAGGGTGAAGAGGTACCAGTGGTAGAGAGAGGGATCGAGTGGTGAGTCTGGGGAGAAGCCGGTGGTAGCCGTAGAGGTGCTTCTCTCACCGGTCGGTGGAGTCGGCAGAGACCACGATCCGACACGAGAGAGAGACCGGAGCGAGCCGGCAGGGACCCGCACTCAGAGTAGGACCCCTAGCCCCTGGGAGTTGTGTACCCTGCTGTGTGGTATTGTAACAGCTTTAATTAACCCTGGCGGAAGCCCCTTAACTTACCTCCGTCTCCGAGTACGTCCGTCGGAACTTCTCTAAACCTGTATATCCCCGCGTTTCTACGTCCTGTCTCCCGCGTGTAGAGATGAAGGCCACCGTGATCTGCCCGGCCACCCCTTTGCACCTCCTCAAGTACGAGCGCCGGGAGGCGTTCCTCATCGAGGAGACCGACTCGGACTACCGCTCCACCACGCTGCCCTTCCTGCAGACCAGCAACTTCAGCCTGCAGGCATGCGCACACCTCCCGCTAGCACGCGCACACCTGTCGCTAGCACACACACCTGTCGCTAGCACACACACCTGTCTCTAGCACACGCACACCTGTCGCTAGCACGCACACACCTGTCGCTAGCACGCCATCACCTCTCACTAGCACAGTGGTGCATCTGCCAGTCATCTCATGTCACCACCTGGGTCTGTCCCGTGACCTCCTGCACCTAGCCTGGCACAGTGATGCATCTGACAGTCATCTCATGTCACCTGCTGGGTCTGTCCCGTGACCTCCTGCACCTAGCCTGGCACAGTGATGCATCTGCCAGTCATCTCAGTCATCTCATGGCACCTGCTGGGTATGTCCCGTGACCTCCTGCACCTAGCCTGGCACAGCAGTGCATCTGCCAGTCATCTCAGTCAACTCATGTCACCCACTGGTTCTGCCCCGTGACCTCCTGCACCTAGCCTGGCACAGTAGTGCATCTGCCAGTCAACCCATGTCACCCGCTGGGTCTGCCCCGTGACCTGCCAGCAGCAAGCCTTTGACACTTCGCGTGGCCTCAAAGCGCACGTCGGCTGGCACACGCGGCATGGTGACGTCACCACCACCGGGTGGTGGTGACGAGTGGGTGTATAACGTGTGTGGTGACGCAGCTGTTTGGAGACTTCAATCATTTGATCCACCTTTATTCCCGCACGCAAAGGGGGCCACCATTTATCTCTATCGCACACAACCGTCTGTTGCTGGCGGCACTATCCAGCTAGTGCAGTTGGCAGGCTGTCTCGCGGCGTCCAGCGGTGGCGTGTGTGCTGCTAACGTGTGTACTGCCATACCACTTTTCGTCAGCAGCCAGCACTATTACTGTGTGATCATTGGGTGTATAACATGTTTGTGTGACCATTGGGTGTATGTGTACACGTGTGTGTGGCCAGTGGGTGTATAACATGTGTGTGTGATCAGTGGGTGTATAACATGTGTGTGTGTGTGTGACCAGTGGGTGTATAACATGTGTGTAATGTGTGTGTGACCAGTGGGTGTATAACATCCTGGATAAGAAGGCAGAGGTGGAGCGGGTCGTGTTTGAAGACCCCGACCCCGAGACGGGCTTCGTGCTGCTGCCCGACCTCAAGTGGGACCAGAAGCAGGTGACGGCGGAGGGCTGGCAGAGCCTGGGGCCTAGAGCCTGGGCCTAGAGCCGGGGCTCAGAGCCTGGGGCCTAGAGCCTGGGGGCTGGCAGAGCCTGGGGCCTAGAGCCTGGGGCCTAGAGCCTGGGCCTAGAGCCTGGGGCCTAGAGCCTGGGCCTAGAGTCCGGGGCCTAGAGCCTGGGGCCTAGAGCCTGGGGCCTGGGGCCTAGAGCCTGGGGCCTAGAGCCTGGGGCCTAGAGCCTGGGGCCTAGAGCCTAGGGCCTAGAGCCGGGGCCTAGAGCCGGGGCCTAGAGCCTGGGGCCTAGAGCCGGGGCCTAGAGGCGGGACCTAGAGCCGGGGCCTAGAGCCGGGGCCTAGAGCCTGGGGCCTAGAGCCGGGGCCTAGAGGCGGGACCTAGAGCCGGGGCCTAGAGGCGGGGCCTAGAGCCTGGGGCCTAGAGCCGGGGCCTAGAGGCGGGACCTAGAGCCGGGGCCTAGAGGCGGGGCCTAGAGCCTGGGGCCTAGAGCCTGGGGCCTAGAGCCGGGGCCTAGAGCCTGGGGCCTAGAGCCTGGGGCCTAGAGCCTGGGGCCTAGAGCCTGGGGCCTGGGGCCTAGAGCCTGGGGCCTAGAGCCTGGGGCCTAGAGCCTGGGGCCTAGAGCCTAGGGCCTAGAGCCGGGGCCTAGAGCCGGGGCCTAGAGCCTGGGGCCTAGAGCCGGGGCCTAGAGGCGGGACCTAGAGCCGGGGCCTAGAGCCGGGGCCTAGAGCCTGGGGCCTAGAGCCGGGGCCTAGAGGCGGGACCTAGAGCCGGGGCCTAGAGGCGGGGCCTAGAGCCTGGGGCCTAGAGCCGGGGCCTAGAGGCGGGACCTAGAGCCGGGGCCTAGAGGCGGGGCCTAGAGCCTGGGGCCTAGAGCCTGGGGCCTAGAGCCGGGGCCTAGAGCCTGGGGCCTAGAGCCTGGGGCCTAGAGCCGGGGGCCTAGAGCCTGGGGCCTGGGGCCTAGAGCCGGGGGCCTAGAGCCGGGGGCCTAGAGCCTGGGGCCTAGAGCCTGGGGCCTAGAGCCGGGGCCTAGAGGCGGGGCCTAGAGGCGGGGCCTAGAGCCTGGGCCCTGTTGGTGAGTGTAGACAGTGCGGTGAGTGTAGACAGTGTACAGTGTTGAAGGCATTGGTGGTGGTGTTGATGCATGTTGACAACATCCATGCCTGCAGACGAATGAGCTCTACCTCATCGCCATCTGCCACAAGCGAGGGCTCAAGTCTCTGCGCGACCTCACTGGGGAGCACCTGCCCCTGCTGCAGAACATCCTCACCAAGACGCAGGTCACCCACCCACCCACCCACCTCACTCGCCAACCCTGACACGCACGTTACCAACCGATCCACCTCACTCACCAACCCTGACACGTTACCAACCGATCCACCCATCCACCTCACTCACCAACCCTGACACACGTTACCAACCTATCCACCCATCACCTCACTCACCAACCCCGACACACACAAAAGTTACCAACCAACCGATCCACCTCACTCACCAACCCTGACACACGTTACCAACCTATCCACCCATCTACCTCACTCACCAACCCCGACACGCACAAAGTTACCAACCTATCCACCCACCTACCTCCACCACCCAACTCACCCCCCTCTCCTCCCACCACAGGCTGCTGTGCTGGATCGCTACGGCCTGGCCGCGTGCCGCCTGCGCTGCTACCTGCACTACCAGCCCTCCTACTACCACCTGCACGTGCACGTGACGCACGTGGGGGCGGAGGCCCCGGGCGGGGCGGTGGAGCGGGCCCACCTGCTGGGCGACGTGCTGCGGGCGCTGGCCGCTGACCCCCAGCACTACGCGCGGCGCACACTCACCTACGCCCTGCGCCAGGGCGATGGCCTCCTGCAGGCGTTCCAGCAAGCTGGGAGAATACCACAGTGAGGGGGACACTGGGTGTAGAGATTGAGAGGGTGACACTGGCTACTGCAGGCCAGAGGTCGCAAACAGGTTTTGATTCCACAATTGGTTTTTTACCCTTCTATCTGGCAACAAAAGGTGTCAGTTTTGTTGCCTGGTACAGGTTTCCGGTACCCGATTGCGACTTCTGGGATGAAGCCATGTTGCAGGCGTGGGTGGGTTGATTCTAGGAACTTGAATTGTGAGAAGATAAGACTTTGGGAAAGGAGTGACAGTTACTCACCAATGATTCACGGTCTACCCGTACCCGGCCGCACCAGGGTACCGGGTACCCGGTTGCAACCTCTGCTGCAGGCCTTGCAGTGAGAATACTGTCGTGAGAATGGGGACAAGGGGGGGGGGGGGGGTGGCGGTACTGGCTTTGGCAGGCCTTAGAGCCAGGAGAAAGCTGTCGAGGGGACTAGGAGAGCCTCCTGTGTTTTAAACAGACATGGAGGTAAGACTGGTATAATGGTGGAGGGGCATGTTTTGCTGAATAAAATTGTGGGTTTTCTTAACTCCTTGTGCAGTTGTTTTATGGGCTCTAAAACAGTCGCCACCAACTACTTCCACCAAAGTATTGGCGATTTCACTCGGCACTGGTACTAGATGCTGAGCACATTCCTGCGGAGCTTGGTAGGAACGTTGGGTTGCTCGGTCAATGGCCAGGATCAACGGCAGCGTGTATTCCGCAAATATGGCCGACTGAGGGTGGGCACAAGCAAGCCTGAGTAGTTTAAACGTTGAGTTTTATAAGGGTACCACAGGGTGACCAGCCCCTCCCCACCACCCAGCCCTGCCCCACCCAGCCCCTCTGCACGACAGACAATAACCCCATGGGCTGGTGTAACCAGGAGGTTCCTACCAGTATAAAACAAACTTAACAATTCATACTTTGGTTCATAAAGGGTATGAAATGGGTGTAACCCAAGGGTCAGAGAAGTGGCCAGGGCTAGTGCTGAAAGCATGTCTAACAATAGCTGCTAGACCCCAACCTTCCCACACCTCTGGTTCAACACCAGCTGCTCAAGAGCTACCCCCTCTCACCCGAGCAAACACTGCAGGACGTGGTTACAAGTTGCAATCAAATCAGAGACAAGGAAGCACTCGGACCAAGCAAAGTCATCTTTCAATGCCTTTTTTATTGATGCCACTTTCCCCAAGACGCATAATTGTACTTGGGTCAAAAAGCGGCGTTTCACTTGTTTCACTTTGTGCGAGTGTCCAACTTCCCTTACAGCAACTGTGTTAGCAACAACCACACACGTGTGGAGAGGGGTGGTGTTGGTGGTGGGGGATGTGGGTGAGAATTGGGCACCGTTCCAGGGAAATGGCTCCAGCAGACAAGAGTGGGGAGGGGCAAAGTTCCAAGACACAAAACGACTTTTCTTACAGCAGCCAACATCTTTTAACAGCACGATATTCATTTGCAAGTTGCTATGAAGAGGCTATTGCGAGGGGCAATGCCATCAACTTAAAACCGGTAAACAAGATTCCGAAACCCGGTCTCGGGATGAGAATCCCCGAAAAGCCGGATTCCTTCAGGAGCATGAAATAATTAAGGACTTTGTACAAAGTGGATGTTTGTCCGGACCAAGTTTTGCGAGGACAAGAAAACAAACATTTTAAGACATCGGCGTCGTCACAGGAGAGCAATAACATGAAGTTGACGGGGTAAAGTGGCTAGAGGGGGGGGGGGGGTGAAGGAGCATGCTCATCAGCCCCCAGCACACGACTTTAGCAAGAGCCACCCTCCACCCCAACAAGTCAACGTGGGAGGAGGGGGGCACACAATGTGGGGGGGAGCGCTAAAATAAAATGTACAACTTTCGCAAAGAGCACAAATCTGTGAACGTGATTTGAGCAGCAGGCATGCGCAATCCTGCCTTAAACACACCCTACTCTGTGTACGCATCCTGCTGGAGACTGCCCAAAGACTTGTGGGTACTCGCTCAAAACTCCTGACTGCCATTCCCATTGACAACAGTTGGGGGGTCGTGGGTGGGGGATGTGGTTTTAATACTTAAATCGACTTGTGCAGGCACAGGCAGCCAAACGATGCACAGGTGCAAGACGACGCATGCAGGTCGCTGTGTGGAGGGCATCTCTAAGCGCCATCGGGCAGGTGACATTAACGTTTACCTTCCAAAACAAACGAATAACCCGTGGGGCGGGGAGGGGGGGGTAGCCAGCCAGACTTCACACCTGTGCAAGTCCACCACCCCCCCACCCCATCTACTCACGCTCAACCGTTTAACTGCAACTCGCCGCCACTACCACCACCCCCAACCCACACCTCTCCCTCTGGGACCGCAGATTTCTCAAATTCATAACGGGATGACTCCCGCCAGGGAAACGGTGGTCTTTGCCATAGCTACAAAACTGACGGCGCGCGTGCGCGGGGCCGAACCAGCGTTGCTCGTGAAAAACTTAAGAGGTTATAGGTCAAGAAGTCCACTTCATTAGGATATGTCCACGGAAGAGGCTGCTCCCCCCATAATGTATCAATGATCAACAACAAATCTGTGCGCGCGATGTAGCTACTAGAGCCGGGATGTCTCCCCCATGGTCACCGGTTCCTATTCTCCCTCATCTCCCCCCCCCTGCTCCTCCCCACCGCGGTTCACAGTAAGTTTATTTCCCCATCATCTCTCCTCACCTCTCCCCCTCTCGTGTTACCGTGACGTTGGTTTTACTTGTCGTTTCTTACCCGCCCCCCCCCCATCGTTATCATCGCTGCCCCCTCCCCCCCCGGGCACCACCACCACCACCACCATCTAGGCGGCTTCCTCCTCACCCTCCTCCTCAAACTCTCCCTCCTCCTCAGCCGTGGCGTCCTGGTACTGCTGGTACTCGGAGACCAGGTCGTTCATGTTGCTCTCCGCCTCGGTGAACTCCATCTCGTCCATGCCCTCGCCCGTGTACCAGTGGAGGAAAGCCTTGCGGCGGAACATGGCTGTGAACTGCTCGGAGATTCGCTTGAACAGCTCCTGCACACGAGGGGAGAGACACGGGGGGGGGGGGGGGCGGTGAGACGCTTGTCGTTAAGGGGGTGGTGGAAGGCATCACACCCGGGGGTCTCTCCCGTAGCAGCAGTCTTTGTAGGTCCGACAAAATCTAATTATACCAAAACCCAAGTTGCTAATCAAAGGTAGGAGCAAGCCAAAATCCTCCTGAAAGGCAGCGCTTCTCAGACCGCTGGCAAAGACCCAGGTTCTCCACGGGTCCTGAGACCCACTCTAAAGGCAACAGATCCTCAAAGGGTTCCTTACCTCGCAACCTCCGATTAGCACGGTTGGCTACGTACGTTGTGCGAAAGGTCAACATACATACAAAGCATAGTCTCCTGCAGGCCAAGTCTCAAACTAAGACTCAATCCCCGTAAACCCACTCCGCTCCTTAGACCCTCCATGCCACAAAACCACCTTCCAAACTCCAAAATCCAAGCTTCCCACCGCCTGGCCATAACAGACTGTCGGAGCAAGTGCTGTTAGCGAGCAGCTACGAAAGCCGACACGGCACACGAGGGGGTAGGTGGCAACCCACGCCCGGCCGCCTTTGTCTCCCTAGTGGCGATGTTTACGCACCGCACCAGGTACTCATACGAGGCCGGCTCGACCTAGGGGAGGCCCAGGAATAATTCAGATAAGTCACCGATGTTGGCCATGGGCGAGAATCGAACTCGTAGCGCTCCCCGCCAAACTCCACCGCCTGCACGCACCTGGATGGCCGTGCTGTTGCCGATGAAGGTGGCCGACATCTTGAGGCCGCGGGGCGGGATGTCGCACACGGCCGTCTTCACGTTGTTGGGGATCCACTCGACGAAGTAGCTGCTGTTCTTGTTCTGAATGTTCAGCATCTGCTCGTCAACCTCCTTCATGGACATGCGGCCGCGGAAGATGGCGGCCACCGTCAGGTAGCGGCCGTGCCGCGGGTCGCACGCCGCCATCATGTTCTTGGCGTCGAACATCTGCTGGGTGAGCTCGGGCACGGTGAGCGCGCGGTACTGCTGCGAGCCGCGGCTGGTGAGCGGCGCGAAGCCCGGCATGAAGAAGTGCAGGCGCGGGAAGGGCACCATGTTGACGGCGAGCTTGCGCAGGTCGGCGTTGAGCTGGCCCGGGAAGCGCAGGCAGGTGGTGACGCCGCTCATGGTGGCCGACACCAGGTGGTTGAGGTCGCCGTAGGTGGGCGTCGTGAGCTTGAGGGTGCGGAAGCAGATGTCGTAGAGCGCCTCGTTGTCGATGCAGTACGTCTCGTCCGTGTTCTCCACCAGCTGGTGGACCGACAGCGTCGCGTTGTACGGCTCCACCACCGTGTCAGATACCTGTGCGGACAAGAACGAGCGAGTGGGTGAGTGAGTGGACAAGCGCGGTGGGATAGCAGGTCATGGGTCTGGAAGATTAAACTATTGAGAAACATTTTTATTTTGCCAGGCAAGGGCCCACCACCGTGCTATGTAGCGCTTTTTCAGAAGCGATCTGGCCACAAATGATAGCACGACAAAGTTGTGGCTTAACACGTGGAACTTAATGGCAGTCACATACTCTTAAACGCGTGACGTTGATTATAAACTAGGGTTAGGCGAGCGTGAAGTCGAGCATCAGACCAAGTACTTTAGTCTCCTCGTCCTCCAAGAATGTCTAAGCACCCACCCCCCAGTACCACTTGCTTAGTGGGCACACAATGCCACTGAAAATGTTCATGGTAATTAATATAAATCTTATCCAGGAAGCCACAGCAAGTCTTTCCAGAGGGTTCTGCTACTGGGTTTTTATTGTAGAGGGTGTCGAGCCATTTTGTGTTTGTTGTGGACGTGGGAGAAAAACCAGAGCAACCGAAAAAAAAAAAATCTACGGAGGTGGGCAACATCCCCATACAGCTGGAAACAGACGTCAAAGTTTACTTGCTCTGCCTTCTGGCAAAGCAGGGTACGGAGTCGCACCTTGATATCCACGGCAAGGGAGTTTCATCGCAACGTTGGTGTGACACCCCTCGCTTCCAGCGCTGGATTACAGGCCACATGCAGCAGCACCACCACCACCCACCTCACAATGTGGGACCTCCGTACCATCACCTTTCACAACCACAGACCTTCTATCTAGTGCCTCTCACCTTGGGGGAGGGTACAACACCAAAGGTGTCCATGATGTGGTCAGGGTTATAGTGCCAGTAACTAAAGCACTAGTGGTATCTCACCTTGGGGGAGGGTACAACACTGAAGGTGTTCATGATGCAGTCAGGGTTATAGTAACTAAAGCACTAGTGCTCTCTCACCTTGGGGGAGGGCACCACGCTGAAGGTGTTCATGATGCGGTCGGGGTACTCCTCGCGGATCTTGCTGATGAGCAGGGTGCCCATGCCCGAGCCGGTGCCGCCGCCCAGCGAGTGCGTTAGCTGGAAGCCCTGCAGGCAGTCGCAGCTCTCCGCCTCCTTGCGCACCACGTCCAGCACTGAGTCCACCAGCTCGGCTCCCTCCGTGTAGTGGCCCTTGGCCCAGTTGTTACCCGCACCGCTCTGGCCTGCAGTGCGGTTGGGGTGGGCGGACAGGAGCGCAACGAGCGGACGGTAAGAGGACGCGCAGAGAGGGTGGGCGGTGCCGCATTAGCCAGATGTTGACCAACTCGCCTGGTGCGCAGGAGGTCGTGGGTTCAATCACGACCCTGACGACGCTTGCTGTAAATTTGGAGTTTGCGTGTCTCTCACTGTGGTCGCGTGGAGTTCTGCTCCATCACACCCCGCATTTAGAATCGATGTCAGGCAATTACAGAGTATTTACCCGCTATTAATTTGCACGTGACAGGCTACTTCGCCGAGTAAATCAGTTGTGGTTGCCAGGTCTCTTCTAAAAAGAGCACTACGTAGCTTAGTGGGCCTTGCCTGATAAAATATAAAGTTTTACTTTAACACTTTGACAAAGCAGGTGGGTGGTTGGGGGGAAAATGGACAGAATGACATCAAATCAAGGTAGGTGAAAAATAAAATGTGCAAGACAATGTGAGAATGATACAGGCGAGGTGGACAACAGGTAGACCACACACGGGTCAAACAAAGGGTGGGAGGAGGGCGATGGACAATGGGTGATAGGAGACCCGTACAAGACACGAGACAGTTGTTAACATTGGAGATGCGGAAATCAAATGGTGCAAAGCAGCCAGACAATGGGTGGCAAGGAGAGCGATCACGCGAGCGAGGAGAGACGGCCACTCACCGAAGACAAAGTTGTCTGGGCGGAACATTTGCCCGAATGGTCCGGACCTCACCGAGTCCATCGTGCCGGGCTCCAGATCCACGAGGATGGCCCTGGGAACGTACTTCCCACCTTAAGGCGGGGAGCGCGGAGAGAGAGAGAAATGCAAGCGTGGTCAGCAACAGCAACAAAAATAACAGGTCCCTGCGGGGTGGGCTGGTAGGAACGAATAACCAAAGAATATAAACATAATGTATTATTACACTTGTTTAGCCAGGAAAGCCTCACCGAGTGTAATGGTTTTTGTAGGGTCCTGCCAAGTGTTTGCAGTAGGGGGCGATGTTGCTACACCTAATCGGACATTGAACGGACGGACGATATAATCTATTGTAGGCTGGTTCACTTCGTTCCTACCAGTAAAATATCTTCTTGGTTCTTTCGGTAAAGTCACGTAGAAGGGAAATAATAAAATAATAAAACATAATACAATAATTCTCACGACGTTTTGGCCACAACACAAGCAGCTGTCCTCAGGTGAAGAACAGTTGCCCAAGCTCTGTGGCCCTATAGCAGTGGTTCTTTACCTGGGATGCATCACGCACCTCCAGGTAAACAAGATGCCCTTTCTGGAGGTGCAAAACAAGCCAGACTGTTTTAGAAGGTAAATAATCAAAAACAAAAATTAAGCACGTGCAACTACTTTGTTTCAAACCTATGCATTTGTTACCATTATAAATAGTTTTATGACTGAGAACCCAAGGGGGTGGAAGGCTGCAGTAACGGTTAAGAACCACAGCCTTATAGTATAGCAGCTGTTTGCCCAACAGTGGGATGCTTGGCTAACAGTGGTCGAGAATGTGCAGGTCGATAGGTTCATAATGGCTGTGTCGGTGTCAACTGTGAATGCCGCAAGGGGTATATTCAATATTCCCGATTAGAATAAACACCGCCACCCTCCCCCCACCACCCTGTATTTTTAAAACTATCGTTGGGAGGGAAATCTCATAATCTGAGGGAAAAGTCTTCCTAAAGTTCGTCGTTCAGAATAATCTTCCAGTCGACATCTACCCATTTATTGCAGAGCGTTCATCTGGAAGATTCCTCCCCGCCGGTAAAATATTTCCCAGATTAGAAAGACTTTATTTTAATTGCCCCAAGAGTCTTCCATCTCAAAAGCATCTTTAATTATCCAGTGATTATAAAGCAACTACCAGAACGTAGCTCACAACTGCAGCGTTTCCAGCACGGTATCCAGGACACGGCCATTACAAACCCTTTCCCCGCCACAACGAAACCTGCACCCCCCCCCCCCCCCCACGGCTCATTACGCATGAGCTCATCAGCACCGCCTCTAAGCACACTCATCGTATTTAACCCGCGAGAGAAAGGGGCCCTTCTCTCTCCCGCAGTGAGTCACCAATCACGTGCTCACTCATTCGAGGTTCTTTACAAAATGTTTGGGGGGTCGATGGGCCGTTTGTTTCGGTTTCTACACTCACAAAACCTGGCCTCAGTCAAGCTACTCCCCAACCACATTGTCCAGCATCAGCTCGGCTCGTGCAAACAGCAGCCACACATTCTACACGCTCGCAAGCGCAAAGATCCCCCCACATATAGCCACTCTTGGGGCCTAGTGCTGTTAGAGCAAGCACCTATATATATGAAGGCAGACACGGCACACGAGATGGGTGTCTAGCAGCACCCTCGGCCGCCTTTGTCTCCCCAGCGCTGATGTTACACACACACACTTGCACAAGGCACTCATTTAAGGCCAAGGCGACATCACATTTACATACCTCGCACGCAAACCCACACGCAAGATCCCCACACCACAAAGACGCTGCTGTTCACCGACACCCAAGATTTGAAGGGCTTGCTTTATTAGCGTGCCAGTCACACTGCTCAGCAGGCGACGTGGGTCAAGCAAGGGAGGGTTTATAAGAGGCAGGGAAGCCACTGCAAATTTTCATTGGGTTCAGTGTTCGTTTCAACACCTACATTTGCAGTTTGTGGTAGGGCAAGTGTATCATCGAAACAGAGGCAGTGTGGTTGGTACCGACGTGGCTATTACAAGACTTGCGATTGATACCAAGGGGAGGTCTTTGTGGAATGTGGCACCGGTGTTTGACGCGGCTATTATGAACCTAGAGACTGCAGCGTCAAAGGCTCACAAACCCAGGACCCCCGGCTAAAATAAGTCCATGCCTGACAGGCCCACGATGATCACGTGAGACATCCAGAGAATACGTCAACTCAGGACGTCAATATCGCAGAGGTCGCAAACAGGTTTTGATTCCTTACCCGTACCCGGCCGCACCAGGGTCGCAAATGGGTACCCGTTCCCTACCCGAAATGAGTGACAAACGGTTACTTACCAGCGACTCACGGCTTACCCGTACCCGGCCGCATCAGGGTCGCAAACGGCTACCCGTACCCGGCTGGGTACGGGTACCCGGGTATCGGGTAGCCGGTTGCAACCTCTGCAATATCGCTGGCTCAGCACCTGCAACAGCCATTACGACTCCCCACACCCCTCCAATAGACAAGCAGACCCAGGATCTCAGCAGTGTTGCCTTGTCTCCATCACGGCCATCAAGAGCCCTCAAGAGGAGATGAAGATTCTGAGATTGCAGCTAGGATCCTGTGGTAGTAGCTCAGAAACTGAGACTGGCAATTTGAACGCCCCCTGCCCGACACTCAGACCTGGGGCTTGAAATCGGGACCAGGTGGAGGTATGGCTGTCTTTGACAAGGCCCCAGAAGTATGGCTCATAGCCATGCACCCCCCCCCCCCCCCCAGTGTGTACGTGCGAGACACGGCCACCGAGCCCCCCCTCACCCTGCGCCTCATTGTAGTAGACGTTGATTCTCTCCAGTTGCAGGTCGCTGTCGCCCCTGTAGGTGCCCGTGGGGTCGATTCCGTGCTCATCGCTGATCACCTCCCAGAACTGCAGTCAGAAGGGGGGTGGCGGAGAGAGGGGTATGGAGTGAGGGAGACAAGATGACAAGCAAATTTAAAAACCTGACCCAACACGTCATAGCAAGTCACAGCCACCCTCGGTTAAACTTGTAGAGTTTGGCCACCGAGTGTTGCCAGCAAAGCTAACCGTGCGTAACACGGTGGGTGGAACAGCAGCAGCAGCGGGGGCAGGGAAATCCGCATTCATGCCGCAGCCAACAAATATTTGGGGGAGGGGCATAGGGGGTGGAACGCTCTGACATTGGCATGCCAGAAATTCACACAACCACAACTTTAAAATATTCTCATTAACCAACGCTTGCACAACTCCTCAGTCCAGAGTTAAGGCCCCCCAACTCCACCGCCACGCACCGAGGAGAACGGTTGTTTGTGCCTTTGCCGTGTCAGCAAGCCAGGTGAGCGGGCAGCTCAATGAATAAGACGAGCTGGGTTGATTATCTGCGAGAGCAACAGCATGTGCTGGCGACGGGCGCAAGCCAGCACATGACCGAGCCTCAAGACAACGCCATTTTCCCCCCCCCCACTAAAAACCACCCAAAATCACACCACCTTACAGTAGAGGCTGCCAACAGCACCCCCTTCATGGGGCCGACTTACACAACACCGAAAACCACACACGCCTCCAGCATCTGGCAGCAGACCAGCAGAGATTCAAGCAAACCCGACTCTGCTGATCAAGGCAGGTAGCATTTCCGCAGAGGATGTGGCCAAAACAGGATGAGTAACAAAATCACCACCAATTATTTGCTTAAGCACAGAGAGAACACACTTTCACGAAGCTGCTAGCACTTTCCGCAATGACCTAAATTATTTTGTCAACCTACAGGGTTAGGTAGAGTTGTATTTAAGCAGTTGCAACCTTCATACCACGTCTTGAGTCCATTCAACTCAAGGGCACGAATCGATTAGAGATTCCACAAGTCAGCAATCGATTATCGATTCGTGTAATTTCAGGAATAAATGCACGTGGGGCACAGGCAAACAGACAAGCCTAAGTCACTATGTGGTGCATGTGTCCCTCTTCAGTTAAAGGTACAGCCCTGCAATCGCCTCCACACACCACTGCAAGGAGCACTCTGGAGGTTACTCGGTGTACTCTTCCACACCTCACTGGAGACATGCCAGACGGTGAGCTAACTCGCACTCCATCCCAACACAACACGTTAGTATCTTGCTGCTGGGTGGATGTGGGGGAGTTGAAGGGTGGGGGAAATAAAACAAAAACTTACCCCATTGCTTTAACCGACAAAACACGCAGAAGCAAGCGGAACCGGTGACAGATAAGACCACAGAAAGTCCGGTGTGCTAACCACCACAAGGCCACTGTCAGCCCCCCCTCCCCACCTAACCCGTCTCGGTTAAAGACCGAAGGATTATTATTCGTGGCCGAACATTTCTACGTGGCAAAACTGGGCAACCAGTTGCGTTTTACCTTTTCCCCCCCATCGGTTACCAGCCATGCAAAGAAATTGGGGGGTGCAGTACCCACCAACAACCATATGGGGGACTGGTAGGCAGGTCACGGTTGTTGGGGGGTGAATTAGCAACCCACAGCAGTGGTGCCACTCAAGATTGGGAGGGGGGGGTAGAATGCAAAAGACGACTGCGGCTCCAATGCTGCTCCCATTGCACAAAGGCTGCTGGCGCCCGGTCTCCGTAGGGAGGGGACGGAAGGAGGAGGGGGGGGGTGGAAAGACCGCAAAGATTAAACCGCGCTTTAGCAGTGTGCCACGCAAGTGTCAGACGGGCCGAGACGACTCCCCCGTGGATTTATAAAAAGACGAGGAGGAATCCAACGCTCTCGCCAACTCTCTCTACTGTACACACGACTGGTGCCACGAGTTGATTTAAAGCTTCTTTCGTGACTGCAGGGATTCATCTTCTTGGTTCTTTCGGTAAAGTCACGTAGAAGGGAAGTAATACAATAATAAAAATAAAACATAATAAAATAATTCAGACGCTGTCGCCCCGACAGACCTGTTCTTCACCTGAGGACGGCTGCTTGCGTTGTGGCCGAAACGTCGTGAGAATAATTTTATTGTGTTTTATTTTTATTATTTTATTACTTCCCTTCTACGTGACTTTACCGAAAGAACCAAGAAGATGGTGCCATGAGCTTCAGCCTTGCCAGATGCGGACACAAATGGGGACGACTAAGAAAGCGCCCGTCAGTGTGCAACTGTGGTCATCAAGAACATGACCCCATGCCCAATTCGCATAAGCATTGGTGCAGGCAGGCAGTGTTTAAACTCCACCACTCCTGCCGAAAATTCTGGCTGGGTCACCACCCTCCATGTAAAATTCAGAGTTGTTGTGCCACCATTACACAGACAAATGAGCCAGTCATTCCACTGCTGGATGAAGGCTTTCAGACCAGGTGGTGCTGCAACCTCCCACAAGCCAACAATCCGAGCCATCTGCAAGAGAACGGATCTAAAAGGTCCCACCTCAGACGCAGTCCCATTTATTGGCTGCAATCCAGAACTGTCCCTCATCCATTTCCAGCAGTATCATGTCCCTGCCTCAAGCCAACTCGCCTTTCTTCCTAATGTGGATGTAATTAACCCGTGTAATGTTCCAATCTATGAAAATGGAGAATTTCCACCACCGACTAAGGGCTACTAACAGAGGATTAAAATATTGTCCAATATTATTCGAATTAAAAATCTATTCATTACGAATGTCACCGTGGGACTTGCAGAGGTCACGGGGTTCACAATTCCCATGTCAGTGGAATGGCCCTTCTGGAACAAAGCAATCGATTTCGTGAATGCATCGCCACACCTCTTTCTAAAAAAATCCATCCCCCCTCACTGCACCAACAAACCAGGGAGGAGGGGGGCTTCAGTAACCACCAACCAAAAACCCACTGCACCACTCCGCCCAAAACAGAGATGCCCCTGGACACCAAACGGGAAAAGAGAGACGGGCTTGAATTAGGGCGTGAATAATTCAAGCGGTGCAACGCCGCGGGCGTGGAGACAGCACGACACGAGCGAGCCGAGAGAGAGAGCGATTGTGTGGTCGTGTTCTCCGCGTTGGGTAAACGCTGAGCGCCGTGTCCGGTCACGCACGGGCTGCCACTCTACCACGAGTCGGCACGCAGAGACAACGCCGCTAACAGCAGCAGCAGCCGGGGACTGGAGCCAGACGCCATCATTAACGCCGATGGATGGGGGAGGGGGGGTGACAATCGGCCACACCGCCTACTACAAGCCATGCTGCAGCCTTGTACCCTTTTGGTTCGATTGTTACAATTTTTTTAAGAGATGGGGTCTGATGAAACAAAGTTGTACTTAACATGCCCCTGCTTAATTTATTTGGATGATTTACCGTCTAAAAAAAATTCTGGCCATTTCTCGCACCGCCAGGGAGGGCATCTCGCACCCCAGGGGGGTTAAGAGTAGTACCACTTTACTAGACTGCCAGTGTTCCATCAGGCGCGTTGTACATTCACAAATGCAACTGCTGCAGGTCACCACACCACCCATTCCCATTCAATTTCTCACTCGGCTTCACTTTGGAATGCACCGTCGTTTCGCCGCTTACACCACCCCACCCCCCCAAGTTCTTATAATATCCTTGCACAATTCAAGACACGTTCCGTATTAATAACTCAATCTATTATAGCTCCCCCCCCACCCAAGAGGTTTTGTTGCTGGCAGATTGGTCGGCTCTGCAACACCATCATGAAAATAATATCACCCATGGTCCATCGACTGGAAGCTGTCAAGGCATCGGAGCATCATGCACAGGCCCTGCTGAACGAGGGCCTCCACACCGTCTCGACCACGCTGATCGCTGGAAGCAAGCGCACAATTCACGGCTCAGCACTATGCGTGGTGGGCTACAGCGTGGACAACCTATACCACAATTCACGGCTCAGCACTACGCGTGGTGGGCTACAGGGTGGACAACCTCTACCACAATTCACGGCTCAGCACTGTGTGGTGGGCTACAGGGTGGTCAACCTCTACCACAATTCACGGCTCAGCACTACGCGTGGTGGGCTACAGGGTGGACAACCTCTACCACAATTCACGGCTCAGCACTGTGTGTGGTGGGCTACAGGGTGGTCAACCTCTACCACAATTCACAGCTCAGCACTACGCGTGGTGGGCTACAGGGTGGACAACCTCTACCACAATTCACAGCTCAGCACTGCGCGTGGTGGGCTACAGGGTGGTCAACCTCTACCACAATTCACGGCTCAGCACTGTGTGTGGTGGGCTACAGGGTGGACCTCTACCCCCCTCCCTCCAGAAGACGCCTATAGCCCAGCGAGAGGTGAGGTAGTAGTCCACCACCCTATGGGAGGCACCTTCCGCTAGCAGCGGGGTGACCCTTACGCTTGCGGGGCTGCGCTCTAACCGTGTCGCACGTCTGCATACAGAAGCGATGGCTGCTGCTGCTGCTGGTGGTGGTGGGGCGTGACGGTGACAAGGACCCCGTGCATTGTCAAATGAAAGCGACGATGATGTCACCGTGGATGCGGTCATGCTCGAGCAGCTGTTCGGGCCCCTGCCGCCCCTCCCAACCACAAAACAACCTTCCCTGCCCTACGGCCCATTACAGACTGCGTCATAAACTAAGTACCACTTTGCGGTAATAAAACGGCGTCCGTGTGGACGCAAGCGAGACTTTGTCCCCGTTATAAATGCAGCGTGCTACGATGCTCAGCGCCTAAGCAGCTAACTGTGCAAGCACGTAGAAGCTTACGATTAAATACGGCGATCTAAAATTGAATAAATATTGTAACACGTTTACAATTAGGCCCGTTGAGAAAACATAAAATTAATGCAATTTATAATAATTTACGGCAAAGTGTCAATAGACTGCCGGGTATTGATGACGGCCTCGCCCGACTGGTACAGCTCACGAGATCCGGCCGACGACGATTATACTTCACCACGGATGTCCGTGGGGGTTACACCCCAGAATATCACTCGCCGCTAATGTTACTCATCGCTAATGTTACCGTAGTCGCCGCTAATGTTACCGTAGTCGCCGCTAATGTTACCGTAGTCGCCGCTAATGTTACCGTAGTCGCGAGCTCGGGTCGCCGGGTTCATGTCGCAGTGCGCTAACCACACTGCGACACAGATCCACCACCAACCACCAACAGATGTAACGTCCCAAATATATAATTTTTTAGACGATTGTATTGCTAGGGGAGGCTGATGCGCTGCCGTTTAGCATCTTGTATATAAACTAAAGCTAACAAAAGTATCAGCCACAGAAAATTAAGCCGTGGAGTGGCGGCATGTCCCAAAGGGCATCCGCGGAGAGAGCGCTAGAATTGGTACGTCGCAAGGGGCTTTGGCGTGGCAGTGATCATCCAGCAGTGGATCGAGCACAGGCTTTTAATGCTCAATAGAAACCACGGCACGGCGGGTCAGACACGTGGCTTTTTGACACAATGGGGGAAGGCACCACTCCTTCCATTGTTGTTTCAATACCGACACAAAAACCCCCACGTGTATTAACCTTAAAATTGTGAATTCCAATCAGGGGTAAAAATAAAAAAAACATCGAATTAAACGGACGCGAGTTTGTCGAATCGTCACCAAAAACCAAACCTATAACGCTTCATTAAAGCTTTTAAAAAAAAGTGTTAAACAATTAGCGGTCTTTTGTAATGGCCGTGCGCCGTCAGTCAGCAGCGCACGAAGCAACACCACCACGCCCCTCACACACCAAGGGACACATCCCTCACGAAGTGCCGCTTGCTAGCAAACGTTAGCGATGTAAAATATCAGCAAGATTCGCTTCATTAAACATATTAAAGGAAGATTCGAGGCGATGGTGTCGCAACCGGCGCTAGACAATGGGGGGGGGGGGGGGGGGCTGCAGCCATTTTCCCGCCAGCGCCATTTGATGAGGGGACCACTTCGCCCCGTTCGATTTAATTTAAAACATCTAATATACCGCGCGTGTTGTTGACGACGATAGCGCGATCGTTACCGAGGCATTTGTTCTATACGGGGGTGAAAAAAAGAATCCAATCGCACGAGGTAAAACATTTTATTTAACGCGCCCCTCCGCCGTCGCAAATTAACATGGCGGAATTTTGGCGCGGTTTTTCAACGGGGTTCAGAGAAGAAATTGAATAAAATAATGTTTTTAAAAAATCTAAACGCATTTGGATTAACGTCGTCAATTCACGGTTATAATATTTTCTATCGTGCAAATGAAACGATCGCGTTTTACCGTTGATTTTTGGAGCAAATACAGCAACGTTAATTTACATGCGACAGAGAAGTCATCCGCCGCGCTGTGTTAATCCGCGCATAAAAAGTAGCGCGCTCGCTCTGCAACGCCGATTGCAATGTGGTAAATACCTCAACAATGCACTATCCCCTACATTTAGCAATAAAAAGCATTACAATTGTAACATTTAACGCAATTTAAGCCCCATTCGTTTCGCCCGAACGAACGTGCATTTACCTTGGAGCCGATCTGGTTGCCGCACTGGCCCGCCTGCAAGTGAACGATTTCACGCATTTTCTCTTAATTTGTTTAACTTAATTTATACGTAAAAAAGAATTAGCTCTTGTCAAATTCACTGATGTTGTTGTTGCACAGCAGACCAGGCGACCCAGATCACCTCTCCCAACCGCAGCGAGGACAATGAAAGTGAAGATGCCTTCCCCTTAAATAGGGCACGCCCGGGCCATACCATCTCAATTCGATGGCAATTTTTTTTTTTTAAAATACACAATTCTTGACCAAACAACACAATCACTATACCACAACGTTACTATGTTTTTACATATCAAAAAATTATATAGGTTATTTCTTACAACATTTACAAGTCAGTAAGTTTACAAAAAATATGCCAAAAAATTCAAGTCCCCCCCCCTTCTCAATTGCAGTAATGACATAATGGTATAGCCCGCTTTACATCCGGGGCACTACCGCCGCGTCACGTGATCTTCGCTCACGCGCCCAGAATGGCGATACGGTGACGCAGCGGCAGAATCGAATCGTACTGATCTCTACGATTAAAAAAATCGATTCCGTTTGGGATTCGTGCGGAATGTACGATGATAGAATCGATTCAATGATTAGCAGAAGCAGAAGGAATCGATTCCAGCCGGTGTTCGCTTTGCGCTGAGTGGGCGGGGGTCGGGGTGGAGAGCGGAACCGGTTCCATTGTAACGTAAATAAATAAATAATCATGGAACCGGCTCCAATGCAAACTCACGCTTGGGTGGGGCGGAACCGGTTCCCATGGGTTTCAGTGGTCGTAGAGGGAGGGACCATTGAGGTTCATTGTCTTCGTGTGAGTAGACGTCCTTTATTTAACCACGTGACAGTCGTGTCCTTTATTTAACCATGGAGTGGGATAGTCCTTTATTTAACCATGCGAGATGTGAGTCCTTTATTTAACCATGGGAGAGCCGAGTCCTTTATTTAACCATGGGAGAGGATAGTCCTTTATTTAACCATGCGTTGGGATAGTCCTTTATTTAACCACGTGACAGCCGAGTCCTTTATTTAACCATGGGAGAGCCGAGTCCTTTATTTAACCATGGGAGAGGATAGTCCTTTATTTAACCATGCGTTGGGATAGTCCTTTATTTAACCACGTGACAGCCGAGTCCTTTATTTAACCATGGGAGAGCCGAGTCCTTTATTTAACCTTGTAAGGGCCTATTGCGATGAATTGTCTCGTGTGACTGACGGGTCTTTATTCAACCTTGTGAGAGCCATTGAGGTTGGTTGTTCTCATGTGAGTCTGCGTCCTTTATTTAACCATGTCTCGTGCAACTGGCGGTCCTTATTTAACCTTGTGAGGCCCTGTTGCGATTATTTATTGTTATTGAGGTCCTTTATTTAACCACGTGAGGGGTCATTGAGATTCATCTTCTGTTGGGAGGTACGTCCTTTATTGAACCATGTAAGTACCTATTTAGATTGTCTGTTATGACCGGCGTCTTTAATTTAACCTTGTTAATGCCTATTGAGAATCAGCGTCTGTAGTGAGTGACGTCCTTTATTGAACCATGTAATAACCCATTGAAAATCACAATTTCTAGTGTCTGACGTCCTTTATTGGGGAGGGGCTGGGTGGGGAGGGTGGGGAGGGGCTGGGAGTGGAGGGTGGGGCTGGGTGGGGGGTGGGGTTGGGTGGGGAGGGGAGAGTGGGGAGGGGCTGGGAGGGGAGGGTGGGGCTGGGTGGGGGGTGGGAGGGGTGGGGGCTGGGTGGGGAGGGGCTGGTCACCCCGTGGTGCCCTTATAAAACTCAACGTTTCACCTACTCACGCCGGCTTGTGCCCGCCCTCACAGTCGGGCATATTTGCGGAATACACCACGCCGCCGTTGACCCTGCAGGCCATTGACCGAGCAACCCGACGTTCCTACCAGCTCCCTCCGCAGGAGGAATGTGTTTTAGTTGACCAGGTAAGACCCACTGAGCTGCCAATGTCGCTCTTTGGCAGAAGCGACCTGGCCGTCACGGAATGAGAGCTCAACGAAAGTGTCTCGTCGAGTGGAAATTGCGAGCAGCAGCCAAATATTCTGAGCGCGTGTTGCTCGATGTGGAGGGAGGACCTGCAGGAGAAAATGCCACGCAACCAAGGAGAGCGAGATGCAGACTGCAAATATACAGCAGCAGCAGCAGTAGGCATTGACAGGGACGGGATCGAACCCACGACCTCCTGCGTACTCTGACACGTGTATTCTGACACGTGATCTCTGACAGGCGCAAGCACGCTGTGTCCATGGCGAGACAGAACGGCGATGGAAACACGACGAGGCCAGAGAATGAGAATCCCCGCGTGTGTGTGTCCGTGTGTGTGTGTCCGTGTGTGTGTGTGTCCGTGTGTGTGTGTCCGTGTGTGTGTGTCCGTGTGTGTGCATGTATCGGTGTGTGTGTGTCCGTGTGTGTGTATCCGTGTGTGTGTGTGTCCGTGTGTGTGTGTCCGTGTGTGTGTCCGTGTGTGTGTGTCCACACACGGACAGTAGTAGCGCGCTAACCGCGGTAGTGTAGCGGTTAGCGCGCTGCGCTATGAACCTGGCGACCCGGGTTCGATTCCTGTTCACGGCAAACACCAGTGACGATTATCTGAACCGGTCCCGGGCCTCCCCTAGGTCGACTCAGCCTCAAATGAGTACCTGGTGCGATGTGTAAACATCGCCGCTAGGGAGACAAAGGCGGTCGGGCGTGGTGCTGGCCACCCACCCCCTCGTGTGCCGTGCTGGCCTTTATAGGTGCTCGCTAACAGCACTTGCCCCTACAGTCTGTTTAGGCTACACGGGGGATCTTTGTCTTTGTTGTGTGTTCGTGTGTGTGTGTATCCGTGTGTGTGTGTGTGTGTCCGTGTGTGTGTGTATCCGTGTGTGTGTATCCGTGTGTGTGTATCCGTGTGTGTGTGTCCGTGTGTGTATCCGTGTGTGTGTGTGTCCGTGTGTGTGTGTCCGTGTGTGTGTGTGTCCGTGTGTGTGTATCCGTGTGTGTGTGTGTCCGTGTGTGTTTGTGGTGATAGCAGTAGGGGGAGCGGTAGTGTAGCGGTTAGCGCGCTGCGCTCACGGCCAACACCGGTGACGATTATCTGAACCGGTCTTGGGCCTCCCCTAGGTCGACTCAGCCTCAAATGATTACCCGGTACGGTGTGTAGTAAATATCGCCACTGGGGAGACAAAGGCGGCCGGGCGTGGTGTTGGCCACCCACCCCCTCGTGTGCCACAGTGCCGGCCTTTCTAGGTGCTACTCGCTCACAGCACTTGCCCCAACAGTCTGCCAGGGGGATCTTTGTCTTTGTGTCCGTGTGTTGTGACGGCCGCAGCTGCAGCAGCAGCTGTCAGCAGTGACGTTGCCCCAGGGGACTCGACAAGAGCCCCGCCCACCACCACGTGGTCACGCGCAGCCGCGGCCTCCATCGCGTGACGCGCAGGACGCGTCACCGGCGAGCACGTGGCACGGCCTCGAATACAGTTGCAATGCACGATTTCAATGCACAGCTGCAATGCACAGTTGCAATGCACGATTTCAATGCACAGTTGCAATGCACAGCTGCAATGCACGATTTCAATGCACAGTTGCAATGCACAGTTGCAATGCACGATTTCAATGCACAGTTGAAATGCACGTTTGCGATGCACGATTGCAATGCACGATTGCAATGCACGATTTCAATGCACAGTTGCAATGCACAGTTGCAATGCACGATTTCAATGCACAGTTGAAATGCACGTTTGCGATGCACGATTGCAATGCACGATTGCAATGCACGATTTCAATGCACAGTTGCAATGCACAGTTGCAATGCACGATTTCAATGCACGATTTCAATGCACAGCTGCAATGCACAGTTGCAATGCACAGTCGCGATGCACAGCTGCAATGCACGATTTCAATGCACAGCTGCAATGCACAGTTGCAATGCACGATTGCAATGCACAGTTGCAATGCACAGTTGCAATGGACGATTTCAATGCACAGTTGCAATGCACGATTGCAATGCACGATTTCAATGCACAGCTGCAATGCACAGTTGCAATGCACAGTTGCAATGGACGATTGCAATGCACAGTTGCAATGCACAGTTGCAATGCACAGTTGCAATGCACGATTGCAATGCACAGTTGCAATGCACAGTTGCAATGCACGATTGGAATGGACGACTGCGATGCACAGTTGCAATGCACAATGCACAGTCTGTGCCACAGACGTGCACGGGACCACGTGCACACAGCAAGGTGCAGCCAGTTGACGACTGACTCATAGACTCACGCACAGAGACCCATCGACTCACACACAGAGACCCATCGACTCACACAGAGACCCATCGACTCACACACAGAGACCCATCGACTCACACACAGAGACCCATCGACTCACACAGAGACCCATCGACTCACACACAGAGACCCATAGACTCACACAGAGACCCATCGACTCACACAGAGACCCATCGACTCACACACAGAGACCCATAGACTCACACAGAGACCCATCGACTCACACAGAGACCCATCGACTCACACAGAGACCCATCGACTCACACAGAGACCCATCGACTCACACAGAGACCCATCGACTCACACAGAGACCCATCGACTCACACAGAGACCCATCGACTCACACACAGAGACCCATAGACTCACACAGAGACCCATCGACTCACACAGAGACCCATCGACTCACACAGAGACCCATCGACTCACACACAGAGACCCATCAACTCACGCACAGAGACCCATCGACTCACACACAGAGACCCATCGACTCACACACAGAGACCCATAGACTCACACAGAGACCCATCGACTCACACAGAGACCCATCGCCTCACCACACAGAGACCCATCGACTCACCACACAGAGACCCATCGACTCACACACAGAGACCCATCGACTCACACAGAGACCCATCGACTCACCACACAGAGACCCATCGACTCACCACACAGAGACCCATCGACTCACGCACAGAGACCCATCGACTCACACACAGAGACCCATCGACTCACACACACAGACCCATCGACTCACACACACAGACCCATCGACTCACACAGAGACCTATCAACTCACCACACAGAGACCCATCGACTCACACACACAGACCCATCGACTCACACAGAGACCCATCGACTCACCACACAGAGACCCATCGACTCACGCACAGAGACCCATCAACTCACGCACAGAGACCCATCGACTCACGCTCAGTGACGCGATCTCAGAGGTAACTCTGTGATGTCCACTTCCGTGGGCCCCGTTGTGTTTGACCAGAGGCGTCCATTGTCGGCGGTCCTGAGCCACTGCTGGAAATTCCACATTAGCACGACGGGGGATCCACTCTCCTCACGAGATGCCCACGATGTAACGTCACATTGAACACACGTACAGTACGGTGCGGTTGTTTTTAGGATAAAACACATTTCACATTTATTACAAACGAACAAAATCACCCACAATGCACCCCGTCACCCAGAATGCACCACGCCGCAAACCCTCCCCCGCCTCTCGCCCCTCCCGCGGTCAGCAGCTCTTGAGCTTGGCCCGAGTCCTGGAAGGGCGATCAGCACCGGGCGGGGGTAGGGGTGGGGTGGGGTAGGCTTGCCAGGTGTTGTAGGCGTACAGTGATACGGGGGGGTCTCTGGGGTTTCTCTGGGGGGTCTCTGGGGTTATCTGGGATGCTCCGGTTTCCCAACGTTTCATGGCCGCGGCAGTGGCAGCACCCTCCTGAACGTGTCTTGAGACTCAGAGCCGTGCACGAGATGATCCGGCCCCGCGATGGCTCGGGTTGTTGTTGTTTTTCCACTGCGCAAGCCGAGCCGTGCCGTGCCGACGTCACCACGCGCGGTGGACAAGCGGAGACGCGAGTGGGCGGCGCCGGATGAACGAGTTCCAGCTCGGTTCGGCAAACGGCCGCAGTGGGAAAAAAGCAAAGCAACCACCACCCGTGTATGATGTGTCGTGCCAGGGGGCCAGCCCTGGCACGGTTCGGTTCGCCAGTGGGAAAGGGTGGGGTACGGGTGAGTGAGTGAGTGAACGAGCGAGGCGTGCCAGCGTTGCAGTGTCAATACTTTAACCCGTATTACACTGGTCAACACACTTTTTCTGGCATAAGGTATTCCAACGGTGTTAATGTAATTTTGGGGTGCTGATTCCAAATCTGGCATCAGTTTTTGTCTATCACATCAGGTTTTTGAGATATTGCATTTTCAATAAAAACTGCAGAAGAAAAATATTAAATAAATGTGGATATCTACATTAAATTATATTATAAACACTATCCTAAAAATACAGCACCTTATTTTAACACTAAAGCAGTCACTGACTCGCAACAACTTGCAATCATAAGTGACAGAGTTAATTTCGGGTAAAATCAATGAAAATGGGGTATGCCGATAGCATAAAAATGAGATGTGATAGAGCAAATCTGAGATCAGATTTGGAATCAGCACCCTGAAATGAGTCTAAAACAGCTGCAAAAGTCCAGGCAATAAATGTTGTTTTGTTGTTGACCAGTGTTATTTGACTCTCTCTTTTTCGCGTTCTCTGGGAAGATATTTTGTTCGAAATCAGAATTCTTAGAAGTGATGACGTCACCGCGTTTGATTGTGCTGCAAGAAGAAGGAGCCTGTGGGAGAGAGGGAGGGGGGAGAGAGGGAGGGGGAGAGTGGGGGGAGAGTGGGGGGGAGAGTGGGGGGGAGAGTAGGGGGGAGAGAGGGGGGGGGAGAGAGGGGGGAGAGAGGGGGGGGGAGAGAGGGGGAGAGTGGGGGGAGAGAGGGGAGGGGAGTGGGGGGAGAGAGGGGGGGGAGAGGGAGGGGGAGAGAGGGAGGGGGGAGAGTGGGGGGGAGTGGGGGGAGAGAGGGGGGGAGGGGGGAGAGGCGATGCATATTTAAAACGTGAAATATGAAAGCGTCCTTATGAATGCGTCACCATGGGCTTTCCGTGAATTAAATATGAGCTTTAAAATATCCATGAGCGGACCACGCGTGTGACACGCTTGTGTGACACGCGTGGTACACAAGCATCACGTTGGCTAGGGGATGTTAACGACCTCGCCTGGTGTATCAAGTCCCGACCCTGACGACGCCTGCTGCTGCTGTGTATTTGGAGTCTGCGTCTCTCTCTCTCATCATCATCACGGTGGCTGTGAGATGTTGACTACCTCGCCTCGTATGCAGGAGGACGTGGGTTCGATCCCAATCCTGACGATCCCTGCTGCTGTATATTTGGAATTTGCGTGTTTCTCTCATCATCATCATCACGGTGGCTAGGAGATGTTGACTAATTCTAGATTTGAAGCTTTCGTGACTGCAAGGATTCATACTCTTGGGTTTTTTCGGTAAAGTCACGTAGGTTAAAAATTTAAATTAATAAAAGTAAAATAAAACAAATTAAAAAATTCACGACGTTTCGGAAGCAACACAAGCCTCCGTCTTCAGGTGGAACCGTCACAGCCACGACAGCTGTATCAAGTAAATGAGAGACTACCTCGCCTGATATGCGGGAGGGCGTGGGTTCGATCCCGATCCTGACGATGCCTGCTGCTGCTGTATATTTGGAGTCTGCGTCTCTCTCTCATCATCATCATCACGGTGGCTAGGAGATGTTGACTACCTCGCCTGGTCTACAGGTGGTCGTGGGTTCGATCCCAACCCTGACGATGCTGCTGCTGCTGCTGTGTATTTAGAGTCTCTGTCTCTCTTTCCCCGTGGGCCGCGTGCATTTGTCCCCTCCACATTTAGAGTCAACACCGTCACGCGCTTTAGAGTGATTTGGCTGCTGCTGCTGCTACACATTTCCACACGACGACGACGACCAAGATGATGATGAACCACCAACTTGCTTGAGTCGCTATCATCTGCGGTGGCCGGTTTGCTCCTCGAAAACGAGACACCAGAGGTCGCAAACGAGCTTTGATTCCTTACCCGTACCCGGCCGCACCAGGGTCGCAAACGGGTAGCCGGGTATCGGGTAGGGTACGGGTATCGGGTACCCGGTTTGCTCCTCAAAAACGAGACACGCATCAGCTTGGCGGAGACCTTTCCGCGGTTAGAAACACACATTTATCTCAAACCAGCTTCGCCCGGGACTTGGAATCTTGCCTTGGATGAATTTCATGTTCCCTTTTATTTCACTGAATTACATTGAAGCTTGCACTAAAGAAAAAAGCCGAAACAAATCAATGTATAACTAAATCCGATGTTTTTCACTGAAGGAAATTCAACCTTGACCCACGTGTGCGCGTGGTCGATTTCGGCAACTCGGGAATGACGCGGCGAGCTGGAAACTGTCGCGTTCCCTTCGAGATTCCAAGACAGCGTCAGCCGGGCAAATGACATGACGTCAGAGCTCAGCGTTCGGAAGTTTTTGTTGCGTCACACAAACGGATTAATCTTCCGCTTTATATTGAAGAGCGAGCCGATGCGGAGGGTGGGGGGATGCGTGACGTCAGCAGGCACACCGCGTGACGTCAGCAGGCGCACCGCGTGACGTCAGCAGGCGCACCGCGTGACGTCAGCAGGCGCACCGCGTGACGTCAGCAGGCGCACCGCGTGACGTCAGCAGGCGCACCGCGTGACGTCAGCAGGCGCACCGCGTGACGTCAGCAGGCGCACCGCGTGACGTCAGCAGGCGCACCGCGTGACGTCAGCAGGCACACCGCGTGACGCTGCCGCATGCGGGTGACATCACACATGTGACGTCACCGCTCACTTGACGTGCAAAATGCATCCATTTTTGCGCCCCCCCCCCCAAAATACAAAAGTCTTTTTTTAGACTTTTTGCATGCTGTACAGTCTGGAAGCTGCCCACATGCCAAATTTCAAGTTTGTTGCATGTCGGGAAGTACGCTAAACATTCGAACAGACACACATTCACAAATTTCCCTTTTATACTGGTAGGAACATCCTGGTTACACCAGCCCACAGGGGATTATTGTGTCCGTCCGTCGTGCAGGGAGGGACTGGGTGGGGCTGGGTGGGGAGGGAGGGGCTGGGTGGGGGGTGGAAGGGGTGGGAAGGGTGGGGCTGGGTGGGTGGTGGGAGGGGTGGGGCTGGGTGGGGAGGGAGGGTGGAGATAGGGGCTGGGTGGGGAGGGGCTGGGTGGGGCTGGCTGGGGGGTGGGAGGGGTGGGGCTGGGTGGGGAGGGGCTGGTCACCCCGTGGTGCCCTTATAAAACTCAACGTTTCACCTACTCACGCCGGCTTGTGCCCGCCCTCACAGTCGGGCATATTTGCGGAATACACCACGCCCTGGCCGTTGACCCTGCAGGCCATTGACCGAGCAACCCAACGTCACTACCAGCTCCCTACTCCGCAGCAGGAATGTGTTATTCATAGATGACAGATCGATGCAAATTGAGAAGGGCTCACATCGTTCTTAGTGGAGCCACCCCGAAGACTCACCGGACTTGCGCCGCTTGAGAGCGAACGTGATCAGCCAGGCTCCCGACGTCAGGCTGACACCTCCCAGCGCGACCACGGCCGCCACCCTCCCCCCGCCAGCCACCTCGTCACCATCTTCACCTCCACCTCCTCTCGGCCTCGGCACCGGGAACTCCGGCTCCTGGACCTCCACCCGGGTCTTCCGGCGTGCACCGGGACGCCTCCACGGGGCTGAGGCCGCCGTCGTTGTTGGTCGGACCCGAGTTGGTTTCCAATGGACCGGGACTGGAGTTTGTTCAAACTGGAGTGGAGCTTCGGATGTTGACTGGGCTGGAGCAATTGTTGACCGGGCTGGATCAGCTGTTGACTGGACTGGATTTTGATAAAACCGGGCTGGATCAGCTGTTGACTGGACTGGATTTTGATCAAACCGGAGTGGATCAGCTGTTGACTGGACTGGATTTTGATCAAACCGGACTGGATCAGCTGTTGACTGGACTGGATTTAGTTCAAACCGGACTGGATCAGCTGTTGACTGGACTGGATTTAGTTCAAACCGGACTGGATCAGCTGTTGACTGGACTGGATTTAGTTCAAACCGGACTGGATCAGCTGTTGACTGGACTGGATTTAGTTCAAACCGGACTGGATCAGATGTTGACTGGACTGGATTTAGTTCAAACTGGGCTGGATCAGCTGTTGACTGGACTGGATTTAGTTCAAACCGGGCTGGATCAGCTGTTGACTGGACTGGATTTAGTTCAAACCGGACTGGATCAGCTGTTGACTGGACTGGATTTAGTTCAAACCGGACTGGATCAGCTGTTGACTGGACTGGATTTAGTTCAAACCGGACTGGATCAGCTGTTGACTGGACTGGATTTAGTTCAAACCGGACTGGATCAGCTGTTGACTGGACTGGATTTAGTTCAAACCGGACTGGATCAGCTGTTGACTGGACTGGATCATCTGGAGCGGCCGTTGACCAGACTTCTGGAGCTGCGGTCGGCAAAGCGCGGAGCGGAGTCGCCGTGGAGTGGCCCCCGGATCGCGGCAGGCCCGGAGCGTCCTCGATCAAAACCTGGATCTGACTTTCTTGGCCTGGAGCCGGAGAGCCACGTGACGCTTCCGCCTGGTCTGCAACACGGACGGTAAAAGTAGAATTGGGATTCATTTTCTTGGTTATTTCGGTAAAGTCACGTAGAATGGAAATAATAAAATAATAAAAATAAAACATTAAATAATTCTCACGACGTTTCGGCCACAACGCAAGCAGCCGTCCTCAGGTGAAGAACAGGTCTGTCGGGGAGACAGCGTCTATGAGAATTATTTTAGTATGTTTTATTTTTATTATTTTATTATTTCCCTTCTACGTGACTTTACCGAAAGAACCGAGAAGATGAATCCCTGCAGTCACGAAAGCTTTAATTCGAAATAGAATTGGGATGATGATTATTACTGTGATGATGATGATATGAAAAATAAGAATGGGGTTTCTACCCCTTTCTATCAATAAAACAGGAGTTCAGATGTACAAAGGGGCCGTCCATAAATGACGTCACGCGATTTTGAACGATTTTTGACCCCCCCCCCCCCCTCGTCACACGGCGTCACAAAAGTCAGACCCCCCCCTCTCAAATATGACGTCACAAAGCTCTGCCCCCACCCCCCAAAATTAAAACATGCTTCAAATCGCTTTCAACTATTGTCATTGTAGTGCGTATTTAATGTGGCGCTGCACTGATGTTGTAGGAGAAAACATTTATTAAAAAGTCTATTTAATTAAGTGGAACGTGTTGTCTATATTTATTTAAAGTTGCGCATTTTAATGTGACGTCACATTTCTCACCCCCCCCCCCCCCTCTCCTCGTCACACATCGTCACAAATGTCTGACCCCCCCCCAGGTGCGTGACGTCATTTATGGATGGCCCCAAACACCCAAATCGATTAATCCTTTTACAATGGATCAAGGACTGCATTAACCACGCACGCTGCAACGTCTAAAGGCGGGCAGCCCAAGGGCAATGCCACACACATCGGAGTATTTCTGGGTCGGGGTGAGCAGCAGCTGTATCATGGGATGCATGTTTTGCCGGGATCAAAGTATGAACAGTAAGAATAGACGTTTCTTCTAGATGTGAAGCTTTCGTGACTGCAAGGATTCACACTCTTAGGTTTTTTCGGTAAAGTCACGTAGGTAAAAAATAAATAATTAACTAATAATAGAAATAAAAATAGAAATAAAATAATAAAAATCACGACGTTTCGGAGGCAACACAAGTCTCCGTCATCAGGTGGGACCGTCAACTTGTATTTAAGAACTTGTATCTTGGAATTTTTGCCTCACTTGATACAGTAAATTTAGCTGTGACGGTTCCACCTGATGACGGAGACTTGTGTTGCCTCCGAAACGTCGTGATTTTTATTATTTTATTTCTATTTTTATTTCAACAATTATTATTTATGTTTTATTATTTATTTTTTACCTACGTGACTTTACCGAAAAAACCTAAGAGTATAATAGAGTTTCGATTTAAAGCTTTCGTGACTGCAGGGATTCATCTTCTTGGTTCTTTCGGTAAAGTCACGTAGAAGGGAAATAATAAAATAATAAAACAATTCCCCTTCTACGTGACTTTACCGAAAAGAACCTACGAGTATAATAGAGGTGTCACCCTTTCTGACAATGCAACAGGTGTTGTGTTAAGACCAGGGGTGGGGAACATCCAGCCCGAGGGCCGTATAATGCCCCGCGAAATTATTTGGGTCTGGCCCTGCCAAGGCAACCGCAGGCGGGACTCGAAATTCAATAAATCTCGGAGCAAACCTGGAAAAGCAGTTGCGAGTAGCAGCAGCAGCATCATCAACACCAGCTAACATCATCACACGCCCCGCCAAAGAAAAGCAGTTCCAGCCCATCGCGTTAGGGGCGAGTTAATTAAACGTTTGAGCAAATATAATGAGGTTAATTTATAAGTTGGCGTCATCTGGTCCAACCCATCTGAGACTAGGCTCTAAGGAAAGCTGTCTCGGGTGTGGACCAATCAACTTCAAGGACAGTGCATATTATCAGAGTTATGTTTTTTGTTTGCATTATGACTGCAGGTATTGTGGTCTATGCAAACATGACTCCTCGTAAAAAAAAAGGTGTCAGTTTTGTTGCCAGATAGAAGGGTAAAAAAACAATTATCATATTTTTTACGGGCAAATGAGGTACCAATGGTGAAGATAAAATAGCTTAAGTCCAGTTTCACAGCAGGGGGCGATGTTGCTGCTGCTGCTGCTGCTGTGGTCACCGCTTCGCGCGTTTTCAGATGCGCTTCCGCGGCCGTCTGGAACGCGCTCTTCCGATATTAAGAAGCCACTGGAGGAGCGATGGCACTTTGCAATCGTCATCATCTGGGTTCACAAACTCGTCTGTCTAGAACTGCGCTTTGCCTCTAGTTTGTTGACCGTCCCCCACACCTTCGATTAGCACGGTTGGCTACGTACGGTACGAAAGAAGTTTAACATATAGTACGTAGCCTAGGGGCACCCCCAGTGGCAGCTGTCCCTGTGCATCAGTCTGCTGTGTGGTCGAGCCTTGGGGCATCTCCACACGACGGGGCGCGGGGCGGCGGGGGGGGGGCGGCAGCAGCAGTGGGCGGTTATCCGCGACCATACTTCACCAATCCTGGTGTCACCACCATTGAATCCTCCTCCTGCTGGGCCTCACCTCTGTAGCACAGCGCACTCTTCTTCCGCCGACAGCCATCGTCGTTCCAGCGCCCGTGTCTCTCGTCCGCCCCCCCGCCGCCGCTGCCCCTCCTCCGCCCCCCCACGTAGAGCTCCACGCACTCCTCGTCGCTTTTCCTGCCGTTGGGCTCGCCGGGCGCCCAGGGCAGGAACGGGGCCGGCGCGCCGCCCTCCAGCCACCGCCAGACGCCCGCCCCGTCGCGGCGCAGTCCCAGCCAGAAGGCGGCGGGGGGGGGGGCGGCGTGGGGGGGGGCGGCGTGGGGGGCGTGGGGAGCGGTGGCGGCGAGCGCGAGGCGAGCGTTGAGCCGCGCGTCCCCCACGGTGGCGAGGTGCCCGCCGTGCGAGCGGCAGTAGCGCGCCGCCGCGCACCACGGCAGAGCGCGGGCCGAGAAGAAGAATTGTCCCGCGTGTGGCGTGCCCGCTGTAGGGGGGGGGAGGGGGGGGGGAAGAGGAGTGATGGCGGTTGGGAGGTGGGCAGAAGAACCAGCAGTGTGGTTGTGTGTGTGGTTGTGTGTGTGGTTGTGTGTGGTTGTGTGTGTGGATGTGTGTGTGGTTGTGTGTGTGGTTGTATGGTTGTGTGTGTGTGTGGTGCCGGACGGGCAACACTGTCGTGGACAGTGCTGATTCCAATTGGCCCTCTCCCCTCATGGCGTCTGTGACCACCACAGCGGCCAAATGGGGGCTCTGGACGGGTGCGAGGGACTGGTAACCCCTCCACCTTCAATTATTTACCACTAAACCACGACGGACAAATTTAATGAATAATCTTGTGCGGGGGGCCCCCGGGGGGACAGGCGTCTATGACGTCTCCTGGCTAAACCCCATTTGGCGGAGCCAGGAGATTGAATCTTTACCCTCGGGGCTCCTCCAGAAACAACAAAAAGCCACTACGAATGGCCACGTGGAATGTCCGAACGCTCACTGCGGAGGAGAGGCTGCCACTACTTTGTCGGGAGCTGGATCGGTACCGCCTAGATCTCTGTGGTATTCAGGAGGTCCGGTGGACCGGTTCTGGCTCCTGCCACCATGAGGGGTGGACAGTCCTCTACTCGGGGCAGGAGACTACCAAACAACAGGGAGTGGCTCTTCTTATGAACAAAAGAATGAAGGAGGCGTGGGAGCGTGGAGGTGAGGTGTGGGAAGCTGTAAGCCCCAGGCTATGTTGGGCTTGCCTTCCCCTCTTTAAGAAGGGGGACCGCACAGACTGTAACAACTACAGGGGTATCTCACTCCTCAGTCTGCCGGGAAAGGTCCTGGCAAGGATTATTCAACATCGCCTTGCCAGGCACGCTGAGGAAAGGCTTGCGGAGCCCCAATGTGGTTTCAGGAAAGGGTGGTCCTGCACAGATGCCATATTTTCTGTCCGTTTGCTACAGCAGAGGCATTGGGAATTCCAACAAGACCTACATCTCTGCTTTATTGACCTGATCAAGGCCTATGATACCATCAGTAGGGCTGGGCTCTGGGTTGTTCTTCGTGCCTTCGGAGTCCCTGACCGGCTGCTCACGATCATTAAGGACCTTCATGATGGTGAGCGGGCCCGGGTAAAACTATGTGGCCGGGAGTCGGAGCCATTCCCTGTTCACCTTGGGGTGCGACAGGGATGTCCTCTGGCTCTAAAATTATTTAACATGTTTATCGACCACGTAGTTCGTGCAGCCTTTGATGGTTGTACCAGAGGAATTTCCATCTGGCACAGATATAATGGGAGGCTGATCGATAACCGAGTGCGGTCAAGGAATGGCTCCCTATTGGTCAACCACGTTATGTATGCCGATGATCTGGTAATAGCTGCTCACTCAGAGGAGTTGGAGACGCTGCTGCTGAAACTGGATTGTGCCACTAAGAGGTGGGGCCTTACCATCAGCCCCACCAAAACTAAGCACCTGCCTGGGTATTTTGTACCATCGGGCACTCCACCCCCAAAACTCCCAATCGGTGATGGGGCAGTTGTGGAGAGAGTGGAGAGTTTCCCATACCTGGGCAGTGTGCTTATGACCGGCTCCAGTTTGACAGCAGAGGACTCACTCCGAATCAGTCGAGCGGCAATATCTTTTCATCGGTTGCGTAACGCTGTGTGGAAGCTACCTGGTCTGTCGCTTTGCACGAAGCTTCAAGTCTTTTCGGCCACGGTCATTCCCTACCTTCTCTACGCTTGCGAAACGTGGACCCCCCTAATGGAGAATCTTCGCTGATTGGAAACATTTAGGCTGGCCTGCCTACGATCCATCCTGGATTTAACCAGGCTGGATTGTGTGAGGAGCTCACAAATCTTTGAAAGATCTGGGCAACATCCCATCGGTAAGCTCCTCCAGCAGGCAAGGCTGCGTTGGCTGGGTCACTCACTGTCTGTAGAAAAGGGGGAGATCATACAAACTCCACTCACTCACTCACTCTCTAGAACATGGGGAGATTATACAAACTCCACTCACTCACTCTGTAGAACAGGGGGAGATCATACAAACTCACTAACTCACTCTGTAGAACAGGGGGATATCATACAAACTCCACTCACTCACTCACTCTGTAGAACAGGGGGAGATCATACAAACTCACTAACTCACTCTGTAGAACAGGGGGATATCATACAAACTCCACTCACTCACTCACTCTGTAGAACAGGGGGAGATCATACAAACTCCACTCACTCACTCTGTAGAACAGGGGGAGATCATACAAACTCCACTCACTCACTCTGTAGAACAGGGGGAGATCATACAAACTCCACTCACTCACTCTGTAGAACAGGGGTAGATCACACAAACTCCACTCACTCACTCTATAGAACAGGGGAAGATCACACAAACTCCATTCACTCACTCGCTCTGCGAGAGTGACCCACCAGCCGCTCGACGGCGTTGCGTTACCTGTGATCATCAGCACTGCTACGGTGACTGCCGCTCCCGCGATTTTCACCATCGCTCGCTCCGAGTCGGACAAATCTGTGGGGCGCATCACCGCACCACGTCAGTCAGGCGCGCGTGGCAATCGTGCACATGCGTGTTAGAGAGACACCCCCAGACCCAGGGCTCGAACCCAGGCTCTGGGCAGGGCTGCATCAGAATCTCCGACACGGCCATTATGAACTCGGTGAGAGAGAGAGACACCCCCAGACCCAGGGCTCGAACCCAGGCTCTGGGCAGGGCTGCATCAGATTCTCCGACACGGCCATTATGAATCCATTGAGAGATCCCCAGACCCAGGGCTCGAACCCAGGCCCTGGGCAGGGCTGGCTCTGTGCCATGCCCATTATGAACCCCCTGAGAGAGATCCACACTCAGCCACACGAAGAGTAAAAAAATTAACCCGTAAAAACAAAGTTCTTCACTATAAATCCTTTATATGCGTGGCGGCTAGAGTCCTCTCGTCCTCTGGCTTGAGATGGCTGCCACCTATGGGTCAGATGATTGCCTGCCACCATTAAGCAATTGGTAATTAAATATTTTTAAAAAATTCCTAAAAAGTGTAAAGTTATGGAAAAAAATTTTCACGAAAATAAATTGTCACGCACAACGAGTCTGTGTGCAAAATGTCAGCTCGATTGGATCACGAGAAGTGGGTTAAAAAACTACCGAAAGATTTGCACGGTCGTAAGCAAGCAAGCACGCAAGTGAACTTAATATAAAGGATTTAAAAACAACTCAAAACGAAGTTCAACTCTTGCTTCGTTTGCCAGGTAAGGCCCACTGAGCCGCCAATGTCGCTCTTTGGCAGAAGCGACCTGGCCGTCACGGAATGAGAGCTCAACGAAAGTGGCGCATCGAGTGGAAATGTGACAACGTCCAAATAACGGATGATGTTTCTAAATGTAGAGGCGATCAACCGGAGAACCCGGAGAAAAATCCACGCGACCACGGGGAGAGACACGCAATCTCCAAATATACAGCAGCAGCAGCAGGCGTCAGGGTCTGGATCGAACCCACCACCTCCTGTATACCAGGCGAGGTAGTTAACATCTCCTAGCCACCGTGATGATGATGATGAGAGAGACACGCAAACTCCAAATATACAGCAGCAGGCATCGTCAGGGTCGGGATCGAACCCACGACCACCTGTAGACCAGGAGAGGTAGTTAACATCTCCTAGCCACCGTGATGATGATGATGAGAGAGACACGCAAACTCCAAATATACAGCAGCAGGCATCGTCAGGGTCAGGATCGAACCCACGACCTCCTGCACACCAGGCGAGGTAGTTAACATCTCATAGCCACCGTGATGATGATGAGAGAGAGAGACGCAAACTCCAAATATACAGCAGCAGCAGCAGGCGTCAGGGTCGGGATCGAACCCACGACCTCCTGTACACCAGGCGAGGTAGTTAACATCTCCGAGCCACCGTGATGATGATGATGAGAGACACGCAAACTCCAAATATACAGCAGCAGCAGGCGTCAGGGTCGGGATCAAACCCACGACCTCCTGCACACCAGGAGAGGTAGTTAACATCTCCTAGCCACCGTGATGATGATGAGAGAGACGCGAACTCCAAATATACAGCAGCAGCAGCAGGCGTCAGGGTCGGGATCGAACCCACGACCTCCTGCCTACCAGGCGGGGTAGTTAACATCTCCTAGCCACCGTGATGATGATGAGAGACACGCAAACTCCAAATATACAGCAGCAGCAGCAGGCGTCAGGGTCGGGATCAAACCCACGACCTCCTGCACACCAGGAGAGGTAGTTAACATCTCCTAGCCACCGTGATGATGATGAGAGAGACGCGAACTCCAAATATACAACAGCAGCAGGCGTCAGGGTCGGGAACGAACCCACGACCTCCTGTACACCAGGCGAGGTAGTTAACATCTCATAGCCACCGTGATGATGATGAGAGAGAGACGCAAACTCCAAATACACAGCAGCAGGCGTCAGGGTCGGGATCAAACCCACGACCTCCTGCCGACCAGGAGAGGTAGTCAACATCTCCTAGCCACCGTGATGATGATGATGAGCGACGCAAACTCCAAATATACAGCAGCAGCAGGGTCGGGATCGAACCCACGACCTCCTGCCGACCAGGCGAGGTAGTTAACATCTCCTAGCCACCGTGGTGATGATGATGATGAGAGAGAGACGCAAACTCCAAATATACAGCAGCAGGCGTCAGGGTCGGGATCGAACCCACGACCTCCTGCCGACCAGGCGAGGTAGTCAACATCTCCCGCTCACCTCGCTGTGTCTCGCCGCG